AGCTATAAAACTTCGACCTGAAGCATGACACGTAGCTGTAAGACGGACCAACCAACCAACGGCAACCAATATCACCTGTCATTTTAATCCTAACCACTTACAATGAACACTACAGTTTTTACTGATTCAATTTTGATCATTTCTGACGGCCACGTCACACATCACTCAATGAATGTATTTGTGCTGTTTGGCAAAAATATACTATGCATTACATTAATAAACTTCAGTCTCGTAACTAAAGTAGCTTCTATCAAACTTGTTGCATAACATATACAATCATTTTCTTCATTACAAACCAATCGTCGGGGAAGAAAGGGTCAAGAAATAAAATTTGACCTAAAATGAATCGGTATTTTAAATTTGAGAAAAACAGGTAGCGTTCATAATTTTTTTCCAAATGCATTTAGTTGGAATGGTTACAAAATCAAAAATCTACTTTATGCTTACATAACTGTTTCCCAAAGGTTTGAAGGTTTGGGTTTAGATTAGGTGTTAATTCGAACTATTCTTCTCAGAATCATCTAAGGATTCATACTCCTGAGGTCGAGCATTTTATGCCTGAAACACCAGATACGGTGTCCCGATAAAGTTCGCTATATATGGGACATTCTGTCATGTGCGATTGCACCTCTTGACATATAAAATGTTATTGTAAACATTTTGTCCAAACACGTCTTTTCACGCCGAATTTTTCGAATGTGCCTCCATGATATTCATCACGTGACTGGAAATGTAATTTTTAAATTATTCCTCCCCCCCATTGTCAAGTATACCAAATTTTTTAAATGAAAATTAACAACAATTTGTAAAGTGGCGAAACTCAAAATTTGATCTACTTAATTGATTATAAACAAGGACGGTTTTTTAATTTTCATTTTTTAGAGGGACTAACGTTACTTGAGAAATAATGTTGGGCATCAATGACCCGACCTAATTTATATTCAATTTGGTTCAGGGGACTTTACAGAGTTCTTTCGACCCCAAATGAAAAACTAATGGCGTATTATTTTCCAATTGATGGAAAAGGGGACACTCAGCACATTAACCGCTTGATGAACTGAAACAACCCCTTATTTTCTCATCGATGACCCGGTTTTTGATTATGAGTTATTTATTGATTTGCATTGCTCGAATTAGAAGATTGTCAATTATTCACATTTCTCGAACATTTTACTGGATGAATTGGGACTTAAAAACAAGTAACCGACGCAAAATTGTTTTTACCACTACAGCATTAAAAAAAGAATAAGTTCGATTAATAAGGACAGAATAAATAAACAAATGTTATTTACGTTTTAAGATAAAAAGTACCAAGGCATATTACCTATTTTAAACTAAAACTTTGTATACAACCTTCTATTAATAACAATAAACAGGTTTAAGTATTGAATTACAATAGCGTTTGGACCAATACTCGTAATTGATAGTTGTTATAGGCTTTACAAGTGACCGAGAGCGCATTTTTTGACAAGTTAGCTTGATTAATTTCACGATTGGCTTAGAAAGCTTTAGTTAATAGATTTTTCGCTATTAATTGACACATATGTTGGATATAAGGATCCATTAATTAAGTGCGTGGAAATCGGCTGCCTACGTAAAACATTTCAAAGACTATCCTGATAATTTATTTTACATACCAAACAGCAGCCTATTTATAATAATTTATAAAACAAATGAAATCGCTAATACGTTAATAGTCAAATTTATGTTGGAATGTTTAAAAATTTTAATAAATAATTACGGAACACACAACACTATTCTGCCAAATTTTTTCATATAGGGTTATTGACAATTAGCAACTCAACACTTTTATTTTTTAATAATGGGTATGCTCTAATAACATCTCTTACTCGATTAGACATACATCTAATCAAATTCGTTATTGTTTCTTGTGGAATGTTAAGCCACTCTTCCTCTGCTGCCACAATCAGCTATGGGATCGGAGTCTAGCTCGAATTCTGCGTTTTATATCATCCCATAAATAGATTGATGTCGGGACTGCATACTGGTCTCTGCATAATTCGAAAATGGACTTCTGTAATGTAATCTCCTTGATCATGATTGTCAAACATAAAAATGAATTCTTCTCCAATGTAGTCGACCTATGGTATCATGTGTTCTGGTAAAATATCCTCGATGTACTTAGCACCTGTTAAACCTCCTGCCCCTTGATCACGGCCGTTCCTATGGATGAAAACAGTGTTGGTTCGTGATTCCATAGAAATTGCACTCAATAACCTGCAGGAATCCACGCCATAAAGGCTCAGCTCTTCATTGCGGCATTCTGCAAATCGTTCTCCTGGTCTTCGGTACACTTTTTTTCGTCGGTCACTACCAAAAAGGCATATTTCGATCTCATCTGACAACAGAACAGGCCCCTATTTGTCCAATGTCCAATTCAGATGATCTCGTGCTTGTCGATAAGCTGGAGTAAGTTTTGGACCAATTGCAGTTGTTTTTGGGGTCAGGTGATTTCCCTTCAGTCTTCTTCTGACTGTCCACTGACTAATAACTCCTCTTCGATGTTCCTGTTCCAGGGCGCCTAACACGGGATCGAATCTCCCCATATCGTTGGCATAAGCTTCGAACTGCTGTCGAGCAACAGCTTGCTGGCGAAGTCCACTTTCGATATAAATGATAACTCGAGCAGCATTTTGCGGTGTAGTATGCATCAAGCTAACACAATTAAATGCTGTCCAATAGGTTAAAAACAAATAATGTGAAAATTCCATTTGAAAAGGCTATTAATTTAAGTCCATACTTAACTACATGGTGCGCCAAAATAATAGGTACTATTTGGGATGTTAATAAAAACCGAACTACATAAAGCAAACATTTTTTTAAAATTATTTTTAAAATGTACATTTATTGCCATTTAGGAACGTTATTTTTTAAAAATGATGTCTTTTAAATGACGGCCATTATTTTCGATGCACTCTTGTAGGTTCTCGCGGAAGCGCATCTTTACCCGAGGGATCATTTCTTGGGGAATTGAGGCAATTTCTTGCCTGATGGCTGCCTTTAATTATTCCAAAGTCCGCGGACGATGTGTGAAAACTCTCGCTTTCAGGTAACCCCAAAGAAAAAAGTCGCAAGGCGGCAAATCAGGCGAACGTGGCGGCCAGCCAAGATCACCCCGTAAAGACACCACTTTGTTTAGGAACATTTGTGCCATGTAACACCATCCTGCTGGAACCAAAGATGTTCTCTTTGATCGTTGTTCAACTCCTTTACTTTTGGACGCAGGAAATTGTTAAGCATATCAAAATATCGATCTCCGTTGACTGTTACCGTTATTCCATCTTCTTCGAAAAAGTAAGGACCCCACACGCCGAACTCCGAGATTGCACACCAGACAATGACTTTTGGACTGTGAAGAGGTCGCTCATGAAGTTCCTGTGGGCTATTTGCTGACCAATGACGGACATTTTGCTTATTTACGGTACCCGAGAGGTGAAAGTGAGCTTCATCGCTAGACGTGAAGAATATCCCGGCATAAATTTGTACGGGTTTCAAAATCTCTTGCGCTTAATTCCTGCGCTACCATCATTTTGTACGGATGCATTTGGAGTGTGTAAAATTCTTCGAACACTTCTATTAGGAATTCCCAAAGCAGCTGCATGCTTACAACTCTTACTGCATTCACATTGTCCGGTGTTCTTACTGTCCTTGGTCGGCCAGTAGATTTTCAATTAAGCGCAGAACTTGTTTCCCTGAAGTGTAAAACCCACCGACGAATTGTTCTTCCATCCGGAACCGCACCATATCGACCAGCTTCAAACTCAATGAAATTATTCAAAAAATGTTTATCCAACTGTATATACAAATCTGTCCCATTTTCCTGTAAGTAAATTTGGCCAACCCAGTACCCCGCTTAAAAATTGATGTGTTCCTTTACTTATTCAAAAAATTTGGTTCCTATGGCGCCGTGCGCCGTCCACCACGCAAGCGGACCAAATTCCTATACCGGACACCGGCCATAGGTCAGTGTGGACAATACGCGCACGTGGAAGCGACGCCTCACATAGCGTCGCGACGTCGACTCGTTTTTAATCACACCATCGGGCTATCGGGCAGTGTTCGGATAATAAAAGCGGGAAACCTGGTGATCCATTTTGAATATTGCCCGCGCGACAACGCAATGCCTGTCCAATGAATTATTGTTCCCGTTAGTTGCATTTTCAGTGATCTATTTAAAGGCGTGTTAGAGTTCGATGAATTTAAATTATTTTGTCACCAAACTGACTGCCGATTCGTTCCACCTTTATTATGCACAGTTAGTTTTTTTTTTTTCGTTTTTAATAATTTCCAATTCCATTCCATTTGTAGTTGGTTTTGGAAATGTCGGTGTTAGCTATTTAATAAATTTTTCTATATTTGAAATCTTATTGTAACTATATAAGATACACAAGAAGTGAAATTTTTTTTAGAAGACGCAAGAGGTGCATAAGATGGAGAAGCATGCAAACTGTAGCTCGAATGACTAATAAATCTTGACTGTGTATAATGAACGCTACAAAAAATTACACCGTGCTGCATTTTTAATCCAAAATTCGTTTTTTTCATTCGAACACTGATAGTGCTGATACATTCAATAGACAACGAACTTATAGGCTAAATCAGCACTCTAAAGGATGAAAACCAGTTTGTGAGAGAAGACGTTGAAATTTTAAACTCAACCAACAAACTTTACACAGTACTTGCTGAATTAAATAATTGTCCCTCTTGTACCGGAAAAATCAGTGTTTTTACCGCCCACGGAAAAATTGTATAGCTTTATTATCAATGCTATTGGTAATTTGGACATCATCCAAAAATGCTTTTTTAAAACCTTTTATTATAAATTATTCCTTTATAAATTGCTTTAGAACTTGATGCAACAAAATACTTGAGAATTAAATTGTCCTTTGTATTCTTTTATAATTTTACCGTTATACCGATTTGCTGTTTTGTTAAATATATATTTAAATGAATAATTTTGTTTTTTGTTTGGCAAAAAGACGTAAATCTGTCAATCGAATAAAAGAAGGTAAGTGGTGTACATTTCTAAGCCGATGGTAGTGAATATAGGTAATTTAACTTGAATTTTGCGTCCTTTAACACATTTGAAGTTATTGGAAGATTTTGTTTAGTGTGTAGGGAAAAAAATATGATACACCTATCATATACAAGGTGTTTTCTAATTAACTGTCAATAATTAAGGGGGTGATTTTTGGTCCATTTTAAAATGGAAACTTCATAAGAACGTATGTCCTAAAGATCTTAACTTTTGAAATACAGGCTATATTTTTTTTATATCTGGAGCACCATTTTACCAAAATAAATAAGAACTAGAGTTCAGATTTTCACGAAATTATATATTTTTAAATGACATTTGTTTCGACAACACCGTGTCTTTATCAAATGTAATATTTTTGCAATAAATTTTCAATTTTTTTGCAATAAATTGGCAATAAAAAATTCTTTTGAATTAATCAACAAAATTAAAGATATCAAAATCCCTTCTAACGCAACACTATTGTCTTTTGATGTACAAAACTTATTTCCCAGTATTCCACCTATGGATTGGTGAAACAAGATTTATTAGATTGCTTAATAGTATTTTTAGGAAGATTTGATTATGGGAAACCCACTTAGTCCTTTAGCCGAGATATTTATGGATAATTTGGAAATTATCATACTAGAACATCCTGTAAGTAAAAGTTTTCTATGGTGGTATAGATACGTGGATGATGCCTTTGCTTGCTTTGTTGGAAGGGACAGACAATTGAATTCACTACCGAGATTGAACAGGATAACCCTATTAATTTTTTTGACCTAACTATTACGAAAACGCAAAACAAATTAGATTTTTCCATTTATCATAAACCTTCACACACGGACACAGTCATACATAACAGCTCAAATCACCCTTATACACAACAGTTTCAAAACATTTGTCAAAATGTGGTTTAAAAATGGCTTTCAGAACTAACAACACAATTGGAAAATTTTTAAAAAACAATATAACCAAATGTCCAAAATCTCAAAAATCAGGTGTCTATAGGTTCAAATGCGGATCTTGTTCTAAAATTTATATTGGACAAACAGAAACGCATTAACGAACATAAAAGAGCGTTTAAAAACAATAGTCTAGATTCTAATTATGCTACACACTTAAACACAAAAAAAAACACATTTTGACGACAATTTTGATATTTTACATACAGCCACAAGAAGTAGAAAATTAAATTTATTGAAAGCCGTGGAGATTAACAAAATGAGACATTCAAATGTATTGCTTAACGATTATTTAGATGTAAATACCCCTCCTTTATTGAACTTAAATTCTCGCAACAACATTAATTAACGTTTTATGGTCATTTTTCGGTATATATAGTAGTGAAAATCTGAACGCTAGTTCTTACTTATTGTGATAAATGAATTTTCATCAAGTAAAAGCCACCTCAGTTCAACACCATTCAACACATCTACTACGTATCACATTGTCTTTGTTTTTGTGGCCATATGAACTTTCACCTCTCTCTTTTGGCAGATATGATGGTACGCCACTGATTTTAAAATAAAAATTATTCTTACAATTTTTTTACAATAACGCAACAAGAGAAATAATAAAAGATTCTTATTAGAATTTATTTTATTTATGCAAGTTTATGCATTTTGTATTTGTATTTAGTCAATTACATAAGTAAGAAATAATAATAATTCCCTGCGTGCTGTTATATTAACGATATTGTTATGACCGTGCAGAGAAGAGGTTTTCATTTTTTTAAGGGAAAACCGTACATCAGATTGAAAAAAATCAAGAAATTGAATTTTTGTATTTAAAAAATTGTGTACACTGATTCCATTAAAATATGTTGTATTACAGATATTACATAAATATATTTTGAAAATTTTACCACCCCTCAAAAATTAAGACGTTTAGGACATATGTTCATATGAAGCTTTTTTTTTTCAAAATGGACCTAAAAGTCGACCCTTTAGGATTAGGAAACACCTTGTATTTAAAGTTTATTTGCTGTCGAATTTTCTGGAAACTTGTATACCAGAAATTCTGATGTAAAACTGGGCTTCATTTACAATTCAATTACTAACTAACCAATAAGAGTATCGTGTTTCTCGGAAAAATTTAATAAATGTATCAAACGCAAATACACTACGTTGAAATTTTGCACAATAATGAAATCCTTTTAAAAGCTAAATCCGAAAAGTACAAATACAAAATACATAGAAAGCTTTCTATATGATTGGCATAATGTCTTTTTTCGTAATGCTGGAATTCTGAAAAGAGCTTCATATAACGTTAAACAATATGACCTTTAATTGAAAGTTTTTTCTGGAAGCAAGAATTGATCTTTTCATTCTATATTTTTAAACATGTTTTTAGTTTTGTTTTTTCCTTTTTGTTTTGTTATTATTGCACCAACTTCCACAGTTAAATCAGAACAGCAACTAATTCCTGGCAATCATCTAACACGCTTTTACAAAAGTGCATTAGAATTACGCAAAAATGGAACTGGACATGGCACCGAAACTCTCTATGTCCTCTGACGAAGCCGATGATGTGGCCTTCAAGGTCTTAAATCAAGACAACCTGCCTGCCATATCGGTAATCGGAGAACCAATTTTTAAACCGTTCGGGCAAGACTTCAAATCAAAGCCCAACCTCGTCGTGCACCCTACTAGAAGAATAGTCACTAATTTAGAAGATAACAAACAGAAAGGCTTCACTAAATCGCATGGTCACATTGACGGTCAATACGCAGACAAAAAGCTAAAAGGGAGGTTCAGCTCCTCCCACGGCCATTTGAACCACCACAATTCGTCGTCTAAAATAAAACCCGATGATTTCAAGAAACAGGTGGACGTGAAGTTCACCAAAACGTTGGACGCAAAACTTCGGAGGCTCCAAAAGAAGGAGAACCAAAATAAGAAGACGGGGGGGTCGGATATCGAAAAATTCAAGAAGCCCTTTGTCACTACCGTGAAGAAAGGAAAGTTCCTCGAGCCTCCACCCGAAAAACCGATACTTAACTTTAAAGTTGCTGATGAACATTCGGAGAAGAAAAATTCGAAATTGTACGCGTACTCGAGCCAGCCGAGGGTGTTAAATCGAGAACCTAAAGCCACAAATAAGGACCCCAAGGTGCTAACCAGAAGTCCTCCGAAAATTGCACATTTGCAGCAATGCGCAGCGGCGTTTATGGCGGCGAAAATTGCCGGAGGAGTAGCCGGGTTGAAGAATATCAATGAAGGGATCGAGAACAAAAAGAACGAAGGGTGAGAATTTTTGAAAGAATTAGAACTGTTAACTGTACATATTTGAAAATGGCACATTTAAGGTGGTGTGATGTAGTGTATTGATTTTTATTAATTGATTATTGTCATCTACAGGGATACCTAAAATTCCGAAAAAAAATTAATACAGCCTCAACCAACTACAAAAAATGCTTGTATATGGTGGACCGTTTATCTTGGGACACTACCTTATCTCAGAAACTATAGGGAACCAATTCATTCAAAAGTTGAATATATAAAGTTAACGGGGGTATTACGAACCTTCAATTTATTTTAATGTTGTATATACAGGGTGTTTCGTTTTACGTCGGCGAGTATCAACTTTCTTATTTTAAATGGAAAACCGGGTAATATTAGTTTATTTTTGAATTCTATACAAAATTCTACACATATTTTGTGTATAATATATATATAATTCTAACCGTTTTTGACATTTTTAATTTTTTATGTGAAAAATGACGTTTGCAATTTCTTCATTAGGAAAAATTCATTGTTTTACTTGAGTAAGTTTTGTTGTAGAGAAAGGAGGCGAATAACAGAAATTTTCAGAAAGTTTATAAAATTGATGTTATTTTTCAGAAGATGTGAATGTCTCAAACAATGATTAACCGATACAGTTTTGCAAAATTAGATGTTTTAAGGAAAATATTGTATCAGAGAAAGTTGTCAAGTGAAAAATGTACTATAATGTTGTCAAACAGAAGTGCCTGCGGACTTTCTCTAAAAGTTTTTGGTTCAGGCTATAATAATTGTAATTTGAGCATTTGTTCAATAATAATTATAATTCAAACTTTTGTGCAATAAGTTATTGGAACAGTTTTGGTTCTTTGAGTATAGGAATTATTTTTAACTTTTTAATTAATATATACACGAGTTGTCCAGATATATCTTTATATATATTTATTGAGAAGTTTTGTACGACAAAACATACAGAATAAAACCACATGCAAATCCTCAATGGCATAATATTAACACACAATTCTGGCAAATAACCGAAATCTCATTTTTTGGGCTAAGTTTGGAAAAAAATGTGCTGGTGAAAAAGCTCAGTCTATGTTATAGAGTTTTAATATCCTCTCCGCTTCTCTATATCCTGTTTCAATTGCACCGTGAACAGTTGAATAGAAATGAGGATGGGTAGCTTCTCCGGCGAATAGAACTCTAGGAACTCCATCGTCATCGACTAACGGGGTTGCAAGCGAACTAGGGAAACCACCACCACCTTTAGAATGTCCCTTGACTGACGCGTAGGAGTAGGTGCCTCTGAAGTGCGGATTTGTATACCACGTTGACCTAAAAGGTCCTTATTAAATACTATTATAGTTTAAATTCATCTATTTGGCGCACTTGAGAATTTTATCAGGCAATCCAATATTGAATTTAGGTCCAAAAATGTTCTTCGTCCAATATTTCTGGGCTTCCATAATTTGATCATTGTTCAAGCTCTCGATGGCTGTCACGTTTTTCCCCGCGAACCATGCAACCAAGACGTTGGGATTATGGTCGACGTCCAGAATACATACAACATTAGACAGCAAAACTTCATTCACCTCAAAAAATAATTATATGTTTTTTTTTGCGAACAGTAATCGAACAACGTACTCCTGTCACCTCCTGCAAATCCTTGCTGTTCTGTACAATGCATAGCACACCACCAAACCGGTTTACTCTCTCCGGATAGTGGAAAAATACTTTGACCACAGAACCAAAACCTATATTATTTATGGCGCTTATTTTTTCTTCCGGCAACGAAGGTTGAAACATTTTCGAATGGTCGGCTTTCAATACCCCAACCGATGGGGAAAAAATAACGTGATCCGCGAAGTATACGCTTCCATCGCTGCAGGATATTTGTACCATGCCGCCAGTTTTCCATTTGGTAATACCGGTCACCTCCTTTCCGAGCAGAACCTTATCGTCTATGGGCAGTTGCTGCCGTGGATCCGGAAATTTCTGCATCATAACGTCTAAGATGGTTTTGTATCCGTGACCGTCCCAATGCATGCCGTTGTCGCCATCGCACGATTTAAAATCCGCCTTATAAAGAGAGTCGTGCGTATCGAAACTGCTGTCGTACGATAGAATACAGTTTTCTGTCCACGATTTTAAATCTTTTAGCACCAGCTTGTCGTTATCGGCGTTCTCCGTCCACTTTTCGTACCTGCGATGGAAAAGTTGTTAAGGTTTTCATACCCAGTTTTACCAGGTGGCCGCTAGCTTCAAAATTTATACTTCAAGTATTCAGATCATTCGCGTTTCCTAGATAAAACAGTTCATAATTTTATTCAGTTCGCTATACTTACATACTACTCAGTTTTGACTGTATTTAATGTCGAAAATAATAAATTTAGGTTATCAAGATCTTAATTGTAATCAACACTTATACTGAATAAATCCGATTTAGATATGTATAAAATAAAATAAAATAAGACCATATTAACCAACAATAAATAATACGCCCAAAATACCAATGAATATAACAAAACATTGAGACAATATTATTGGGAAGTAACTAGAGACAAATAAAATTAGTGTGTGGCAGTGTGTGCACTAAATATGTTAAAATTCACGCAACACCGTATTTCATTCTAGTGATGTTTCTAAGTAAAAAGTCCTTAGACGGGGAGGACATTACTATTTTATTCGTGACGAATTAGTTTGCGAAGACGTCAGATACAGGGTGACTTAAATTCGGGCAAAGTTGCGCATCGATAGCGATAGTGAGCTTTGAATATTCAAATATGGAAAAATGATTGGATTGAAATGATTGAAAATTATTGGATAGAATTCTCGCTAGAATTCTAGAATTTTCGTTTGAAAATCTCAGATAAAATTGTACAACTAATGAGAAACTTCAGGATATTTTAAAAAAGGTAACAATAAAAATGACTGTACGTAAAGATAATAAATAAATTACAAAAGATGCTCAAAATGTGGTCCGTGTTTCTGCAAACACAGTTCTGCCCTTCTCTTCAAGTTATGCACTGCTCGCTGGATGTCCCGTCTGCGTAATCTCTCTAAACTCTCTAATGATGTTGATTTAGAGCCCTTCGATATTTTCTTGATAATAAATTATATTTTTAAGTGTACCCATCTATCTCTATCTGTCTGTATAGGGTTGTTAATGCTCCGTATATATTCATGGTTTCGATTGAATATTGCACAATTTGTAAAAGTGCTTTCATCTTTCCAAATCACATTTTCTAGGAAAGCAGGAAAATCGTGCCTCCTTTGTAGTCAATTACAAGATTGTAATGAACTTTCGGTATTACCTGGATGTAATTTTTGCGAGATATGAATTTTGTAGCATTTCAAACCACTTTTTTTAGGTGTCTCCAACCACTCGAATGAGAAGAGGCACCTACAGCAGAGTAAACTTTGCGTCTGGATTTTCCCGGTTCATATTTATCTGCAAATTGCCAACTTTCGTTAAAAGAAATGAAATAATTTCACGTTAATCTTACCTCATTAACTCAATTTTCTTTAGTTTCTTCATACATTTTGTCTCCATATTTTAGTCTCAGTTTTTCAAATGAAGCAAACTCAGCGAGATTTCTATCCAATAATTTAAACAATGTTCGATGACGTTGTCGTCTTTCAGTAAACATGTTCAAATACATTTTCGTTGTCTTGACACCGTTTTTATTGTTTTTATAGTAAAGTTTTACCCGTTTTACTTTTTTCTTTTCATTGGTAAAGTCCATTTTTAACGACGTAGTAATGCACTAAATTTTTTAAAATGTCATCGAGCGATTTGATAATTCATAATTTACTATGGCATAACAGTTTTTGTTCAATATTTCGAATTTGAGGGAACACAAATATAACTTGTCAGACATCAATAAATACATATAATACGGTCTATTTAATACAGCAAAAAACCAATATTGGGACCATGTGAACAAATAAAGTTGATGATCAGGGAGAAAACCGAAATGTCGTAAGAGATTTTTGACCTGGCCATATCTTAAGTTTAAAAAGTTCCAATGAGAATAAATAAATGCAATAAAACGATTTTTTAACAATCTCAAAAGGGAATATTATTGAATTCACCGATGCGCAACTTTGCAATAATTAAATTCACTGAGATTCTAATCGTGAAAGTCGAATTTGACACATCACGTATAGAAGGCAGGGTCATAATTTGTGTATTGATAAAAATTGGTCTACAGTCTATAAATGGAAAATACAGCAATTTTTCGAGAGATGGTGAAAAATTATATTGTGATTGGGAACATTTGAAATCTTGTTTTCAACCAATAAGCAACCAACATGGCCGCTGACTGTATATTCTTCTGGTTTTAGTTTGGGTGCAACATCTTTACTTCAGTATTTTCTCAAAATATACCCAATTGTTAAATGCTATGTGAAAACGAGTTAGGTGTGTTTAGAAAGTGCAGTTTAGTGAGTGAAAAGATCGTTCCCATTTCTACCAAAATATCATAGCCGATCTAGATTCACCAATTTTAACGAACTAGGGCTACTATATTATCTCATGGTGTCTGTTTCATCAGTCTAAGCTTTCCATCCTTTACTTGGTTAGGTGCCACCCATGAAGGTCAATAAACCAGAAATCTTACTTCCAATGATTGGCACTTTTGATAAGTCGGAATAATAAGAATCACCCAAACCCTTTAATGGATAATACAAGCCATTCGGGTCTAACAAAATAGTCGGAAATATTGTTTGCTCACCTCGAATCCACACATTCACCTAGTGACAACGCATTTTCGCAATCTTTTTGAGTCTCGTCGTCGGGTTGACTGCCACCTAAAAAATAAACTAAGCGCAGTACTTTGTCGACAACGGTCCTATTGACCTCTTCGCCATTTGAACTTAGAACCGTAACGTTGGGCTTTGGATGCACCAAAACGTTGAGATCTTTCACCATGGAATAAACAACGTTGCCCTCTTCTCCGTGACAATATTCCGCACCTAAGTCGACGTACGCGTCACCAAACTTTAGGCTGTGAATTCTACCGCCAATCCTATTTTCGGCTTCCAGAATTTTAACATTGGTGAAATTATTTTTCAACAATTTGGTAGCGGCAGCTACGCCGGCCGGACCACTACCCACTATAAGAACCGACGGATGTTCCTGCGCCCATGATAAGCTACAGTAACTAAGAATTAACAGAAAGGGAATGCACATGGCGGTGGTTGGTGCAAAATGGAAAAGGAACAATTATTTAAGCGAATGTAAACAATGTGTTTTTGTTCACTAAGTTTTATCAAACAGCAATATAAAAAAATATAGACAAACGAAAATTGAATAACTGCAGATTTCTCAACAAACATTTCGATAAGGTTGCCAATAATTAATGGTGGCGTCTGTTAATAAATCAATATTTTAATTGCTTTATTTGGTTCCAAATAACCAAATCTAGATTATAATCGACTGGGCTTTATGGTGATTTTTACTTTACTCTATAAACATTTGCCTCATTTTTTATGTCAAAAATGTCAAGGTTAACAATCGATTACTTTTCGAGTTCTGCATTTTGGTTGCGATTGCTGAGTATCACGGTTATCAGTAAAGATCGAACCTTACAATTTCGAAGCAGCTCTGGCACATTTTTTGAGATACGAAAACTTGGCATAGCTCCTATGCTTCATCGTTTGATAATTTTTCAAAAAGATAACAACTAATTTCAAATGTTGATCAAATTTTTGAATTTTTAAATTTAACATCTACAATATAGTTTTAAAAATTTTACTCTGTCACGGCTGGCGTTTTTATAAGTTTCTCAAAACTGTAAAATAGACTAGTTTAATAGACCATGACAAAAATTCTATTTTTCGCAATTGAAAATTTGCAGTATGATGATTTTGCACAAAAAAGTTCTTCGCATCTGTCCAATATAAGATATGGATTCTTACTTAGACCACGAATCAGATATTATTTAAAAATTAGGCTCTAGTATATTATGCGTTGAGTCACTAGTCGATTTGCCCCGAGCGGAGCAAGTATTTAATAAACGAGTGACAAAAGTTTACCAAACGTGTTACAGACGACCTTTCTACGACCTTTAGAATTGACAAATATCATAATTCAAGGCTTGCGATAATAACTCCGAAAACATCCGATTGCTCCCAAACCCGTACAGTGACATCTCGGAAATGTTCAAAATGACTGGGAAAGGAAACTGACGCGGTAAAATGACTCTCCGCAAGCTAGGTGTACCGTAGGGTATAGGAAAAAGATTTGTTTCAACTATAGAAACATTTTTTCACCTAAACTGTCCCTAGAACCGTTTAGTTTCAACTTTATTAACATCCTCGTTACTGTTTTTTCTTGTTTAATTTATCCAAAAAGTTCTAGACGTAAAATGGTTTAATTGGTATAAGTTTAGGATAGGTAACGCAAGCAAAATTCATAGCACACCAAAATTAATTTCAATTTCTGAAAATTTATTAATGCAAATCCAAATCCATTGCATAGTATTATTTGAAATTGTACAAATCTATTAATCGATCAGCTTCTCTGTATCCCGTCTCTATTGCACCGTGTACTGTTGAAAAATAATATGGGTGTGTAGCTTCACCTGCGAACAAAATTTTTGGTACACCCCTGTCATTCAATAAAGGTAAACCCAGCTTCTCGGGTAAATTCCTTCCTCCGTACTTATAACCTGTCACAGACTCGTAAGACGATGTACCTTTGAAATGTGGATTGGAATACCACGAAGATCTGAAAACAATAATAGTTTGTAATACCGGAGATTATTATATGTCCACTGCACGCAATGTTAACAACCCACCGAATAAATTGATCCGGAAGACCCATACCGAACTTTGGACCCAGTATCTTCTCAATTAAGTACTTTTGTCCTTCGAAAACTTCTTGGTCGTTTAAGTATTCGATATCGTTCACATTTTCACCCGCATACCAGCTTACTAGGACCCTGTGATCGGATTCCATTCTCCAAATGCCCGCAAGATTGCTTAACCAGGTTTTGTTGGCCTATACAAATGATAAACAATAAGCAGTGCGGTTGAAGCAGTTAAAAATGTCTCGATATCATTTACTAACAAATTTCATGATTGCCAGAAAACAATTTTAAAACGTTCTATATTAAAACTTTAAAATAGGATAAAAATGGATAAAAACACTTTAATTTTGTATTCTACCATTTTATAAATCTACCAAAGACTTGTATTTTGACTACAATTACCTCTTTAGCTGCGCTAAGTTCTTCAGGACTCCAAATAATTGCAACGTATTCAAAATTTTCTATTTGTTCAGGAAAATGAAGCACGATCTTTGCCGTTGAACCATAACCGATATTTTGAATAGCATGAATCTTTTCTTCGGATAAGCCGGGATCAAATAACGTTGCATGTTCCGACTTCAAAACACCGACCGATGGGGTAAATATTACATGATCTGCAGCATAAACGCTTCCATCTTGGCATGTTACATCGACTTTATCTTCAGTGTTCCAATTAGCAATACGAATCGCTGCTTTCTCGAGCAAGATTTTGTCGAAGATGGAGACTTCACTGTTGTCGCTCAAAAACTCCTGCATGATCACATCCAAAATGGTTTCATATCCAAAACCATCCCAACTCAAAAAAAGTTCCCCTTCGCAATCTTTGTAGTCAGTGTTAATCAGCAGGTCGTATACATCGTTGCTTCCGATATCATCAAGGATGTCGTTGATAATCCACAACTTGCATTCCTCGAGAGTTTTAATTTCTTCATCGTTGCGAGCTTCTTGAAGCAACTCCATGTATCTTAAAAATAAAAATAGTTATTCCCAGCACTAGCCAATTAAATTAAACCAACTCCAGATCAATACAGTCACCAATTGAAGTCAAATTACGACATTGATCCTCGTTCTCGTCTTCATCAAACCAATCAAAGAATTGCAGTACTCTTGTTTGGAGCTCCTGCTCTATTACGGCATCTCCTGCGCTGATAAGTTCGAATTTCACCGCCCAAGGTCTTAACACATCTAGATCTTTGGCCATAGAATAAACCACGTTGTCTTGCTGAAGCATTCTTCTTTGCAAAAATAATTTTCTAACTTTTGCCAATAACGTCCACGTAGGCATTATACTGAACATCTATAAACTAAAAATAGTTTCATTATTACAGAATTATTTTCAATTGTTCGTATTTCCTAGATGGTTCTCTCCTACTTAATTTAAAATTGGTGGAGAATTTTCGATTTTACGTCTTCTTTAAAAATTAAAAATTTATTCCTGTAACTTAATGCCATAACTATGGACACAAATTTTCATTTTTCAAAAAATCTTCCCTATAAATAATAACAACATTTTGTTTCTTATTGTTTTATTTTGTAATAATCTATTAGTCTTTCGGCTTCTCTATAGCCTGTTTCTATCGCACCATGCACAGTTGAAAAATAATACGGATGAGTAGCTTCGCCCGCAAACAGAACTCTAGGAACTCCGTTGTCATCTAATAAGGGCGAAGCCAGTTTGTCAGGAAATCGTTTACCTCCACTGGAATGGCCTTTAACTGATTCGTAGGAATAAGTACCCCTGAAGTGGGGATTAGAATACCATGAAGACCTGCAAACAAAAATAAAATTTCTGCCGCGATCAATGAAAAACATTGAACCTTATAAATTGATCCGGAAGAGTAAGGTTGTATTTAGGACCGAGTATTTTTTCAACCAAATAATTTTGGCCCTCCAAAATTTCTTCGTCCGTTAATTTTTCTATTGCCGGAACTCGTTCACCGGCGTACCAACCAATGAGTACGTTGTTGTTATTTTCCGCTCTTACAGTTCCCGAGAGGCTTTGTAACCAGTCTATGTTCAACTACAAATGCAACAATTTAATAATACTTTACTAGAGAAATATGAGTTTTATTTATCTGAGTAAACAGTTCACCTCTTTGAGTTTCTTCAAATCTTCCTCCCTCCAAACTATACCTAAAATATTACTAATGCTTGTCGTTGGTTGCGGAAAATGGAGAATAATTTTCATTATGGCACCGTAGCCGATATTTTTAATAGCATCCACTTTTTCTTTCGGCAGCTGGGGATCGAACAAGGTTTCGTGGTCGTGTTTCAACACGCCGACGGAAGGGGTAAAAAGTACATGGTCCGCCGAATAGGAGCTCCCGTCTTTGCAGACCACCGCAATCTGATCACCACTTTTGTATTTCACATTGATGACCTCCTTGTTAAGCAAAATCTTGTCATCAATTGGAAGCTGATTGTCTCGGTTAGGAAATTTCTGCATCATTACTTCCAAAACGGTCTTGTAGCCATGACCATTCCAGTTTAAGAAGAGATCTCCGTCACACTTCTTGTAATCGGATGTGCTCAATAAATCGCCAAGGTCGAACGAGCTATCATACTGGAGAAGATATCCTATTGTCCACAGTTTAAGGTCCTTCAAAAGTCGTTCCTCCTCGACATTGTGCGCAGATTGCAATAATATGTTGTACCTGTTGTAAAACAAATTATCTTGAAGTTGAGAGCGGTCGCCAAATAAATATGAATGGTATGGCCAATAATATATAAATAAAAATAATTTCTATACTTCCACGATTATTATGTATCCAAATTATATTAACCGTTCATGAAGTGAAGTGAAGTGAAATATAATATTTTTTGTTTGCTTTTAGTCAGGAGACTTAAATGATTTAGTTTTGGCGAGAGTTTTGGTTTGAGCATCTATGTATTAACAAAATTGAAAAGAGTATCAATACACAGGGAAACACAGAAAATCTATTTTTTTCAATTGACAACCCTATGTATGAATTTATTTTTCTGTTCCTCGTAAAATTCCAAGTAAAATTTATTTAAAATATTTCATTTCTAAATTCTTTGGAAAATATTTAAAATTTGCATGTTCAAATACTTAATGTAACAAATAACACTTTTAGTATTTATGTTCGTAACCGGATAAAGAGAATATTTGTTTTTCCATATATATCGGGCGTCTTTACAATTATATTAATTATTATATTAATATATTCATTTTTATAGAACACTTACTCAAATGATATCATTCATTAACCTACCAAAATTATCAGACGTCAGATAAAATACCCTGTATATAATACCAGGTTATGCTTAATATAATCAACCTTTTTAAATTTACGCGTGATTTGAAAAAAAATTAGTTTATTTACCTACCTCTTATCAAAACAATCACCAACCGAACTTAGATTCTGACATACCCTTTTGTTTTCATCGTCAGATTCGGAAGCGTCTAAAGAATGTGCGAAGTGAAAAATTTTGTCCTGTATCTGTTGGTCAATGTCCACCCCATTTGAATAGAGAATTTTAACATCACCACTTGCATGCTTCAAAACGCCCAAATCTTTCGTCAACGAATAAACGATATTGTCTTTCTCTCCGTGACAAAACTGGGCACCCAGGTCCACGTAACCGTCTCCAAATTTAACGCTGTTGACCCTTCCGCCTTGCCTGTTTTCCGCTTCCAATATTTTGATGTTGGTGATACTGTTTTTTAGTAATTTGGTAGCGGCGGCGATACCAGATGGACCTCCGCCAACAATTACTACCGATGGGTTTCGCTCTCCGTATACAATACCATAAAAACACGCGAAAAATACAAAGAGATGTGCCAGGCCCCACATGATTGAAGTAATGTAGTCAATATATTGTCTTACTACTCGGTCAGATAACATTTATCGTATTTTGTTTGACATGGTTTGCAGCCTGGGTCAATTTATCCGTATATACATAATGTGCCGGCAAAGATAATAATTGCTTTTGTCTGCACTATTCCAACAACAAATTTTGATGTCCGTTTATTAATATTCGGTGTTTTTGTCAAAATCTAACATGTATATTCTCAAACGTACCATTTAATATGCGTAACAATAATGCTACGATGTAAAAAACTCAAGTAAGAACTGAAATATTTGTTTCAACAACAGAAAATTATGAAAATTTTCAAGACAGGTATAGGTTGTTTAAAATCGAGCATAATAGGCTATTAAGGAATAGAAAGAAAATCTTTTTTCTACTCCCGCCTGTAAAATATCTAATTACACACCGATCTAGCGTGTGGGAAGCGTCACTTTACCACGTCATTTTCGTTTGCCAGGAATCCGAGCCACTTCGCACATTTCCGGGATTTTACCGCACGGGTTTGGGACCAGATGTTGTCGGAGATATTTCCCACGCTTTGAATTTTTACGTTTGTTAATCCTGACAGTCATGTCAGGATTGACAAATTGACAAATAACGGTCGTAGAAAAAGTATAGTATGCAACACGTTCGGTAAACTTTTTGACTCACTGGTTTATTAAACACTCGCCCCGCTCGTGTCAAATGAACTCGTTGAAATGTCGTTTACCACACAACATATTTAATGGATAAAAGAGAATACAAGATCTTAAGATGACTTTAGAGTTCTTTATGCAAAATATAAAAGTTCTTATAGAATCCCAAGTGTAAGTGGTGTGCGATTTTTTAACCTCTTATCGAAAGAAATGAAAAGGTGTGATAATTTATGTACACTTAATTTTTTTTTCTACTCCCGTCTGTAAAATACCTAATTACACACCCACCTAGCGTGCGGGAAGCGTCAGTTTACTACAATACTTTCGTTTCCCACGAATCGGAGCCACGGGTTTGGGAGCAATCGGATGTTTTCGGAGATATTTCCCACGCGTTGAAAACTAACGGTCGTAGAAAAAGTATAGTATGTAACACGTTCGGTAAACTTTTAAGTCACTCGTTAATTAAACACTCGCTCCGCTGCGCTCCGCTCGTGTCAAATAAACTCGTGAATGCCGTTTACCGTACTTATATACTATTAAAGGTATCTTGAGAGTAAATGCCTGTGCTCAGTAGAAGAGTACTTTAGTTAGTCTATTTACTGTTTGTAGTTTAGGATTTTTTTGACGATTTTCGATACAAACATTGTATTTGTCAATTTGGAAAATAAAGATTATCATTATTATTATTACTATTATTAATATTATAAATAAAGGCGGATTTGATTCGCTTGACTTGATTTATTTTAATGCAGGTTGTTTTCACAAATTGAGAGCTGTCCTCTGACTCAGATATAACGTTGATAGATACAAGCAGATGAGACAATTTTCTTATTATTATTAATAATAGTAATTTTCTCAATACTTTGTTTTTACTTACGTCAATTATGTTTTGGATAAAAATATTTTTTATGTAACATTATAACTGAAATAAAACTGAAAGATATTTCTATTTCGGAGTATGTATATTATGCGAACATATTAAGAACACGTTTTTTACCAGTTTTTTGAGTTAGTCTACTCGAAATTCTAACTTGTGAATGGTACATTCTTTAAGGTGTATTGTAAAAATCGATAATTTTTTTAGCTTCCCTGTATCCACTTTCCACAGCTCCGTGGACAGTTGAATAGTAATACGGGTGCGTAGCTTCTCCAGCGAACAGGATGGATGGTTTCCCTCCTGTTGCGACAAGAGTTTCGGCTAGTTTCTCGTTATATCGCCCTTTGACGCTAACGTAGGAGTTCACCCCGAGGAAATTGGTATTTGTAGACCAACTCGTTCTATGCAATTTTAACCAGTTTTATACCCAAAATAAAATGTTTGATTATATTACCTCAATATTTTTATAGGTTCGCTGACATTGAATTTTGGCGTTAAACATTTACTAACCAAATATTTTTGCCCTTTGAACACTTCCTCGTCCGAAAGGGTGTCGATCAGGGTGACACCTTTGCCACCATAAAAACCATTTAAGATTTTCGGGTTGCGTTCATCCACAATTAAAAACACCAAATTTTTCAACCAGTTGAATAATTTCTAAAACTCGAGCAGTTAGTGAAAAGTCGGTGCTAACATGAATAGTATCTACCAAATCCTGCTTATTCCACACACAATGCAGTGTACCTCTTACATCCAGCTCGTGCTCAAAGAATACGAATACTTTTGCCAAAGAACCGAAACCGCTATTTTTTATAGCTGCAATTTTGTTTGCTGGCAAAGGCGGGTGAAATATACTCTCATGTTTAGCTTTTAGAACCCCTAGGGACGTAGTAAATATAACATGATCCGCTTTGTATCTGCTACCGTCGTCCGTTTTTATTTTAATGGTATCATTTTTCCAACCCTTGATGTGTATGACTCGTTTGTTTAGAAAAATCTTGTCATCAATCGGTAGCTGTTTTGTTATGTCGGGATATTTCTGCATCATTACATCCAAAACGGTTTTATAGCCGTGTCCGTTCCAATGCAATGAACTAGACTGTTTGGAATATGACTTGAGAAGCTGGTCGTTAATGTTCGTCGACATTCCTATAAAGGAGAGAAAATTTTTCAACCATATTCTAGATTTCTCGAGCAGCCTGGTTTCTTTATCCGATTTACTTCGCTGTAGTAAGGAAGCGTACCTAAAGTTAATGAGAAATTATGTGTTTATACAGTGTGTCTCACTTAAGAAATGCACAGCCTTGTAAAATCTTTGTTTTTCGTTCGATTTTGTTTTTTTTTTCAATGGACGAGTCTTTGAAAAATGCACTAAAACCTTGTTTTGCTAATTAGTTCAAATTAAAGTCATGGCGAACTGAGACTATTGAACAAAAGAGAGAAAAGAGAGAAGTAGCTCAACTATACCAATTTTTAATGTTTAAATATAGTTCGTCCCTCGCTTAAGGATGTACATTCTTTTAAAATCTTTGATTAGGGTTTGATATTGATAACTTTTTTTTTGTTGGATAGATCTCTGAAAAACGCATTACAACCTTATGTTTCTTATGTTTTAGAGATTATTTCAAATAGAAAATAGATTCCTGTTTAGGACCACCTACAAGTAACTAGACTAATGACTTTTTAATGTTTTAAAGAATAATTATTGTAAACCTTGCGAATAATGATTTTTCTATATGTGATTTTAAGATCTTACAAATTTTAATTATACAAATTTCAAAAATAATGATAAAAAAGAATTTTTAAGGGACGTTTAACAACAACAACATTAATAAATCTTAGTATTCCAAAGACATAATGTAAACAAAATTAAAATATAAATTAGCGACAGAATTTGGTTTTGGAATATTCGCTTCTCCATGGCAAAATTGGTTTTACAAAGGAAACAGTATGCCAACGTCAATCAATCTTGATATTTCTGTTATTTTAATTATTAGATGATAATAAAAATCCTTTTTTTCATTAAAAATACAGCGTTGTAAAGTCTGTTTAGTTCGTTTCTAATCCTCTCTAACCATATTTAATTTTTAGAAAATCAGTGAAATGTATTCAACAAAATTGTAGTATTAGTAGAAGTATATTTAGGTTTTATGTAGTCCTGAATAGGAATTCCTTGACACTTTATTTTTAAAGAAATCCCTAATAGCCCTTCTCGATATTTGACATCAAAAATTAGTCCCAGCTAGCCATGACTTCAGGTTGATGTAATAAGAAATATGAGGTTTTAGTGCTTTTTTCATATAGCTATCCAACAAAAAAAAATTCTCAAAACCAAACTGTAATCGAAGATTTTACAACGATGTACTGCCTTAAGCGGAGCGCAAACGATATTTCAAACGCCCTCTATTGAAACATTATAAAAATTGCTATAGTCATTTTTTTTAGTTTATTTTTTTTAAGTTGGCCATGAATTTAAGTTGAACTAATAAGTAAAACAAGGATTTAGTCCATTTTTCAGAGACCTATCCAAAGAAAAAAAAATCAAAATCGAACGATAAACAAAGATTTTACAAGGGTGTACAGTCGTTAAATGAGACAGACTTTATAGTATGTACGTAGCATTTGCCGGATAATATACAGTGCGTCCAAGATAGGTATGTCATAGTAGAGAAAAGCAGATAATTTTTAAATGAGACAATATTCATTCATTCTATCAGATATGGAAAATAAGTGTTATTCTTAATTTTCCATCTTCGAATTGCTATTTTTTAAAATATATTTTTATAATTATATTTTTTTGTATTAACAAAATTAAAGCTCAAACTCACTCATTCATGGAAATGACGTTTAAAGCTGATTACAGTATCACTCAATAGGTGACAATTTGAATTTAAATGTCACTTTTTAAATAAAGCCAGAAAAACCATAAATTTCGTTAAAGGTTTCTCGGGAACTACTGGGAATTGTTTAATTTTATAAACCCTAAAATGGGCATTTTTTTTTTCAATTACCGTTTCATTCTTCTCGATACTGCCAAACCTTATCTTGAAAATACACTTTATAAAACTACTACTCACGTTTTCTCAAAGCATTCGCCAATCGACCTCAAATTGCGGCACTCCTCTTCGTCTTGAAAACTAATCACATACGCAATAAGTTTCTCTTTATTTTCGTCATCGATTTCCTGCCCATCCGATATTATTTTATAGTCAACATTCCTGTCTTTCAATATTCCAAGATCTTTTACCATCTCCCAAACGGCATCGTCTTTACTGCCATCGTAGAATTCCCCTCCGAGATCCACATAAGAATCTCCGACTTTTACGCTTTTAATTCTACCACCAATTCGATCTTCAGCTTCGAGAATTTTAATGTTGGTGTAATTGTTTTTTAACAATTTGGTGGCAGCGGCGATGCCGGACGCTCCAGCGCCGACGATGACAATGGACGGATTTTGTTTTTTACATTCCGTCAAATATACGGCGAAATAAATCGTCAGAAATGCGAAAATCAACATTTTTGTTACGGGATATATGGTAATAACTCTTCACTGAGTGGTCAATAAACACTGAGGGTACACTGACTTTATCGGCAAATTAAATCCATTATCTAATCTATTGTTTACTGGTCCCGACAAGATGGTCGATATTTTTAGTTCGTGTTATTAGGACAAAGCGTGTGGACATTGCGACTTCACTTGTTCGGAGTGAAATAATCCGGATTGCTTTCGATTCAATTTGGCCTTCGTAAATCTAATCAAATGGAAAAAATAAAGAAATAGAGAAAAGAAAATACATATTAAATTATTCAACTAGAATTGGTGTTGATTGTTTAATATAGATCCATTTTATTGAATGAGTAGCAAATAGCAAATTAGCAAAGCCACAATGTAAAATAAATACATAAGGCTACGTTAATAATACACTGGCACCTTCATCAAAGATATAAAATTGGAAATCATGAAGCAATTTTCTTCTTAGTGAAGAAACAGTTAAGGTATACATACAACGAGTTAAAACCGGTATATACGATGCAATTTCTATATGTATTTCTGCATGCATTTTTAGTGGATAAATATTGTTGTTAAAAATGAATTGTTAACTGAAAATGGCTGTGATTATTCCGAGGGAATTTTATTTTCAAAGGTTGTTTTTCAATATTGATACAATAAACGATATTATGCAAAAATGTTTTTACTACTCATATAATAACTTATGGCTATAAGAAAAACATTTAGTAGAAATGAGAGAAATGAGTGTTTGGTCGCAATCCAATTTATACTAGTTATATTAATTTATGTGTTCTCTAATACTAATTTCTGTGCACTTCTCATGCATTTAGTGCTAATATAGGTTACACATTGAAATACAGTTCTTTTAAACAAATTGTTTATTGACTTGTTTTATTTACAGGTTTTTAAACAGATTGTCCATTGACATTTTTTTACAATATTTGGAACCCAAAACTTTAATCTGCAATTATTAGTTGACGGATTGAATATACTATTTATAGAACGTTCTGCAGTTGCTTCGTGAACATTTTTTGCACTTTTTCCTGTGCGATACCTAGTATTTCCTAAAGTTATGTTTGTACTTTTATGAGTTATTTTTCATAATGGTTAAACCTATAAGTTTATTAAAACAAAAGCTTTGCGCTAATTTACACCCAAAAATTCGGGAAAAAAATACTATCAGAAGAAAGACAGCAAATGAACGAAAATCAAAAAAAAATTCAAATGACAGATCGCCGAAACCTCTTTCCGTTTAAAGGGAGCGAAGCAATTTTTGCTCAAAAAGTTATCCCCTTCCAGATATTTCAAGCAAAGAATTCGAGAAGAAGAAAAGTAAAAAATAGTATATTATGCAACAAGATTTTGAAACGCTATTTTAGTCACGAATCTGTTTTTGGCACGGGCGGAGCAAATGACTCACCGAAGACGCTTATCTACGTGTTGCATACTTTTCCTAGGACTCTTTTGGGGTAGATTTTTACGAAAAGGCACCGATGATTCACAGATTGATGTGTGCCATGACCGTTAGAAATGACAAACGTCATGAAAACGTCTAAAAATAGATTTTGGCATTAGTCATGGCGGTAGACTTCAAAAACAGGATTTCTAGTAAAAATATCGCAAAAAATCCAATTATAAAAGGAGTTTACACTTTTCTTTTAAACTTGAATACCATGTTTAGAAAAATGTTTTTTTTTTATGATTTTAGTGCCGTAGTCAGTCAGTTATCTAAGTATCGATTATTGCTTTACGCTTTTTTGTAAAACTCAATAACTCTGTCGGCTTCTCTGTATCCAGTTTCCAAAGGTTCGTGAACTGTTAATAGCGTACGTAGCATCCCCAACAAACAGGATAGACGGTTTACCTCACTTACCGATAAGAGGTTCGACTAGTTCGTCGTTATATCGCCCTTTGACGCTACCATATGATTTGAAATTTCCAAGCCATCCGTCCTAAGCAATTACATTTTTTATAACTTCAATCAAAATAACATTTTCGATCTTATTACCTCACAATTTGGATAGGTTTGCTGATATTGAATTTTGGCGCCAAACATTTACTAACCAAATATGGTATAATAACTCTGCGTGAAATGGTCAATATCCACCGCGAACACAATATGTATGCGTCCACTTATTGTGCGCCTAATCTATTGTTTATTACTTCTAATTGGTGGAGATGTTATGTTCAACAGAAACGGTCCTGAGTAAATTTTACTCCATTGTAAATTCGTATTTAAACTGTTAAGATAGTTTTCTATTCCTTACTCTAAAATATTCAGTTATTTCCGGATCAAGTGTGGGCAACTCGTGACTAAAGTGTCATTCACCAAATATCAAGAATAAAATATCTGTGAGCAAGTACAGTACAGTACAGAACAGTTCTAACAAAAACAATGCTTTTTATCATAACTGTAATATTGCTATAAATTTTTTTTAATCAAATTTAGTGCTGTTAAGCTCTGGTGCTTTTGGAGCCCTATTTTTTTTATTTACCAGTAGCATACGTAATAACTTTAGACCGAATATTTATAATTAATAATAATAAATAATAATATTTTATGTCTTATTTCATTATTATTTACATTAATAAGAAAAAAAGTTACGCCACCAGTTCCTGTCTACCCTCTGCATATACTCTCTGCATACGACAGACCCTTTTCGCGTGAACGAAAAATATACCATTTTCATTGATGACGAAATCGCTAAAATCTTGTTACTGTTGTTTGGTATCTAAAACTGATATCTGACAATTTTTTAGTAAATTAAAATGAATTTCCAAAAGAAAAAAAAGCCTTCCCAATATAAATAAATGCTCAATGCTCTTGCGGAACGTTATTTACAGGGTTGTTGTTTTTTCTTGTCTTGATTATAAAAAAAACATATATTTCTTTGTATTTATGAATCCTCAATAAATAAACAAATGGTTATTAAAATGAATAAGTAAAAAAATACTACGGTTTCGGTGAGTTTCCGACGTTTCTAATTTATTCTAAAACTATAAACGCAACAAAATTATAATTCCTTTACGAGTAACTAAAAAATTAGTCAAGAAATACATATCTAATACGAACGGAAGAAAATGGCGTTATAAAAACTTACAAGGCATATTTGCGTGCAAAGTTAATTAAAAAAATTTTAAAAGTTAATTGTTAAAATTCTGAACCAATGCAATGGAATCTTTCCAAAAATTATCTTAAAAATGTGCTTTTCAGCTAAATTTTCCTTTAATATCTTTCGACTATACAGATAATTTCTATTGCTTTATTTTCAGTTATCCCATGCCTGCAGTATGTGTTGTTATTGATGTCGTTGAACTATTTTTAGAAAATCGATTGAGTTGTGACTTAGTTTGACCAAACCAAAAGCCATTCTCGAGTAACGATTATTATTATCAGTAAAAATTAATACGTTTTTTTTTTAGGGAAATCACGTACGGCAATGTTATGTACGACAAACGAGTCTTTCGGGGAAGCAACTTTGCGCAGCAGCATGCGGTAATTTAATCTTGATTTTTAATTACTAATGACGATTCGATGTAAAATGTACCGGTAGACTATATTATTGCACGTGTGACATTTTTTAATGCAGCCCAAATGGAATCCACATTTTGCGTATGCCAAACTCCTTTCCAAAGACGAAGTAAGTATGTCGTTGCTTTTAATATTATTAATTAAAAGAAAATTTTAAATTGCAGCTTATTAATATTTTTACTGTAGAATTCTGAGCTTCAAGTCGCACAGATAAAAAGGTGTTTTTAGTTTTAATAAAATTGATTAAATTCTAACAACAAACAAACAAAATGCTTGTATTAAGCTGCCCATCTACATCAAAATTACAGCACTTTACAAAAAACAGCCTTACATTTAAATTTGATTTTTTTTTGCTATTGCTTACTTGTGAAACTGAATGGTTTAATAGAGTAAAAACGTTAATAAATCCAAAAATATGTTTTTATTTTCTGAACTACATTTCACTAAAATTGCAAAACTCGCCCTTGCGGCCAAGATTATACAAATTGCACAATACACACACACTACACACTACACTCTTTTTTTAATTCATTAATAAAAAGAGACAGGAAAATTTGAACTTTACAAAATTGGAAAATTGGTCTCAAGGATTTAGAGAAATTTCTAAATAGTAAAACAGCTCGACAAAAAGTGACAACTTATAAACGGTAAAAAAAAAACATTGAAGGTTGGGCTTGGAAATTTTAAAAAATTAGTACATATTATATACTAAGCCTACTTTCGTGGCAGTTGTGGGATACAAGTATCACTTAAAAAGTTTCCAACCTAACAATGATACAAGACATTGTTTCTCTTTTTTTTTTACATACTATCCTTGTAACCCCGTACATGGGAGATCTATCTCTGTGACCCATCCAAATAGTACCCACCGTTTTTCTCCGCAAAATAATTGTTCACGAAGCCGTTCAGATGAGGGAACAAAAAGAACTCGCTTGGGGTTATATCTGGTGAGTAAGGTGGATAGTCAAGCAGCTCAAACCGTAATTCGTAGATTTGAATTCGTGGGTTGTCTTAGTCAAACAGGATTTTTTTTTACAAATTTGCTCAGCTTGTCGGAGGAGCGTAGAATGCTCCTGTAAAGGTTTTTTCTTTTTGAACGTAGAGATGACTCCATAGCTGTCCCAAAAAACAGTCGCCATCACTTTCCCAGCCGAAAAAATAGTTTTTGCTTTTTTCGGAATCAGTTCTCCCTTTGCAATCCACTATTTTAACTGTATTTTTGATTCGAGCATATAATGGTGTATCCAAGTTTCATCTACTGTAATTAATCCGCTCCAAAGCAAGGCGTTGCCCATGTCTCTGGTCTAATGTGAGTAAACGCGGCACCCAATGTCCTGATAGCTTTTTCATGCCTAAATCTTCATTCATGACGTGATAAACACGTTTTTCGGACATTTTCATGACCTCTGCCGTTTCTTTCACTTTAATTCGGAGGTCGTTTAACATCGTCGATACTTACAGTTTTTGGTTAGTAAAGGACGGTGTAGAGTCCCCATATACAAAGTCCAATTCGAAATTTATTTGCGCAGGCGTATTGTCTTTCAAAAACAAATATTTTATAATAGGTCTATACTCAATTTTTTCCATTCTCACTAAAACACTCACATCGACTCACTCAAACGGCTCTCAACTAAAAACCATGAGTTCAAAATGGCTGAAACTTGCACAATTTTGATCACTAGCTTTTAGTAAGTAGTGCCGCCATCTTCGGGGTGAGGTCGGAAATTTTCAATTGACCCTCGTATATATCCGTAAGCGAAAGGTGAAGCGCCTATTGTTCATAATAAAAACTTTTTGAGAACCAATTTAATATTATGATCTGTGTTATTAGTTACTTTTTTGAAAGAATTGACAAGAAGGTTGCTTTTTCTTATGGTACACGCGGACCCTTTGCATTTCCAATTAAACAACTAATATTTACTTATGTTTTGTTTTTAAGAAAAGACGACCTTGACAAACATGTAGCTTCTTTTTACAAAACTTTTTGATTCCTGCTGCGTCGGTTTTTTCTGAGTCAAACTTGCTGAAGTTTCGCCAAACATTCTACTGGCTTCTTCAGAGCTTGACTGAAACTGGCTCGCATTTTACTCTGTACCTGTAAATATTGTTTGATGGCGGTGGAGCTAAATGAGGGGCATAAAAACAGCCTCGGATGACTGATTCTCATATTGGTGACAGATAAAGACCTGAGTCGCGGTTAAGATTGTTAGGTTGTTTATAGATTTCTATAGACTCTCGGATTTTTCGTTGGTAGAAGAATTGATTACATGCAAGAATTTAAGTTTTATCGAATAAAATTTTGTGTTTGGTTTCATGATTGTGTTCGGCAATTGCTGATGAGTTTATTTGTCTTAGTCTTAAGGCTCTTTCATGTTGTTTGAGCCTAGTTGATATTTTTCTTCCGGTCTCTCCAATGTATTCTTTGCCGCATATGCATAGAATGCTGTAAACTTCTGGCATCTCAAATGGAATTTTGTCTTTGACGGATCGAAGATGTTGAGAGATTTTTGGACAAGTGGTAACTCTGGTTTTGACGTTTAGAACTTTTGATATGTGGTCAGTGATGTTTTGAATGTGAGGAAAAACAACAATGGCAAATGTGATATTGCTTTCGGCTTCATTGCTAATGGAAGGTTGTGGTGTATTTTGTGATGGAACGAATGTCCGGTTTGGTGATTGTGTTCGGCAACATCTGGTGAGTTAATTTGTCTTAGTCGTAAGGCTCTTTCGTGTTCTTTGAGCCTAGTTGATATATTTCGTCCGGTCTCTCCAATGCATTCTTTAGTTGATATTGATCAACTAGGCTGAAAGAACATGAAAGAGCCTTACGACTAAGACAAATAAACTCATCACCTGTTGCCGAACATAATCAGGAAACCAAAATTATAAATATATAATTAAATCAATTCTTCTACCAACGAAAAATCCGAGAGTCTGTAGAAATCTATAAACAACTTTATCTGTCATCCGAGGTGGTGTTTATACCTCCAGTAGCCTGTGGAAGTTTCTTTGAACAATATAGTTTCCTAACGTTACCTACTTTGGACAAACGAAACTTATACAGGGCGATGGGGAATCGGCGGCCGCAAGAGCGGCGGAAGCGCGTCGACGGGCTCTCGCTCGTCGAAAAGCTAAAAATCAGCACTACAACAACTCGAGGCTTCGTCTAGGCTCCCCGCCACCGGTTGCGGGCAGAAGACACGAAAACATCCAAACCGAACACTACTTGGAGGAATTGTTTGTAAATCCTCCGTTATCGGACGTTTGCACGCAAACTGATTTGTTCCTGGAGAGGCCTGTGTCGCCATTTTACGTACCAGCGAAAACTGGAGCCGACGTGGACACCCAGATTTATCCCGGCGATGTAAGTCTTTTGTTTTTGAAAAAATGGTGAAAGCAACAAACGACTACTCATACCCTCATACAGCCAGAGTAAAATATCTGTTCTATAACTGAAAGACATTATTGATGCAGTATTTAGAACTCTAGATAGTAAATTTAATCTGTTTGCATTTTCTACTGTTCAGTTATTCGACTTCGATCTAGAAGTACAACCCATCCTTGAGGTACTTGTGGGCAAAACCGTCGAGCAAGCACTTATAGAGGTGCTAGAAGAAGAAGAACTTGCCTCGCTCAGAGAGCAACAGCGAAGATTTTTGGAGCTGCGCGCCGTGGAAACAGCAGAGGTTTTGAGGTATAAATAAGTAGCGTGAACGCGACTTACCTCATTATCCGCTGTCTCAAATCTTTTCAGATTAAAGGAAAGGGAGAAACGGCTAACTCGCGAGAAAAATAAGCGAGTCGCTGAACACGAAGACGGTGTAAAGTTGCAAAAAGAAATGGAAGAAAGGATTGCGGCAGCGGTGCTGACGCAAAGTTATATGGCTGACGTGCTACCGTCGGTCCTCGAAGGGCTACAGTCCGAAGGGTTCTTGGCGAATAGTGTTAAAGAAGGTAGGTCCACAATACCCAATAAAAGTAGATGATAACGTCGCCGGTGTGTATCTTTCAAGATATCGACGACTCATTCATGCCCTGGTTGGTCAAGGAAGTAACGCAAGAACTACAAGATATGGTTTGCAGCAGAGACTTGCTCTCTGGTGAGTAAATAATTTTCCTCCTCACCATTTTATTTTTTTATATTTTCATTTTATGATTTGTTTTTGCAACTTTAATTTTAATGAACCGAATTTTAAGTGGAGATTGATTATTCAAGAAGTAAAAGAACAAAACATAAGCAATGAATTACTAAAAGTAAGTTGCGGTTCTTCCCATTCTTCTAAGTTACATTTTACGTTGTTCTAAATCAGAGTCGCTCGTTTTGCACCTGCATGCCCTAATAACCCATTTTAAATATCATTTGCATGCATGGTGACAAGGCTTTTCGAAAGGGCTCCGTTTCACGAACTTTTCAGTTTCGTCGTAAAATGAAACTTGGCGTGTATGATTTTAGAAGTTATAAATCTACACGAATTAACCCGCATAATGGTTTAGTTGGCCGTGCGGTGATAATAATTATATTAAAAAGTGTTACGATATTTTGTTTGTTTGATTTATTGTTTTAAAGTTATAATAACCAATGGGTAACTAACTGCAGGGTGTAGTCAACATTTTTGTAACTTTCTTAAATTTGAAAAATAGGTATTTTTTTGTTTTTGGTTTGTGGTACAGCAGCTTCAATCAAATTTGCATGCATATTTCAGATATCGTACGAGAAATACTCGAAAACAGAGCAGAAATCTACAAGGCTTTAAACAAGGAGTCATCAACTGATGAAACGGAAGAAGAAGGACCTTCGGTCCAAGAGATGATGTTGCAGGATCATTTTAAGCTGCAGCAAGAGATTGAGGGGGAAGAGATAGAGCCGACAGAGCAGCATCGCAATGAGACATCTTAACATCTATGGTAATTAAAATTAAAAATTAGTTTGAATACGAAAACATCTTGTTATTCCCCTAAAAATGACACCCTTAAGTGATGATTTTATTGATCTGTAGTTATATGTTCTACCTAATAAAAATTAATAAAGCCTCTGGTAGACAGTGTACTGTAATCTTGAATTAAAATGTTAAAAGGCTATTATAAAAAAAATAAAAAATTGATATGGTAATTTTAAAAAATCCCAAGTGAATGGTTATTCCCTACATTGCTGTCTCGGAGCATTAACTACAGAGTTTTCATTTTTACAGCAATAAAAGAAGAAAATATGTTGTCAAGAAAAGAAACCTAATCAGGGTTCAGACACACCAGGATAAAATGTTACATTTCTTTGGTGTAGGGTTTGAAAAATTAAAATTTCAATTAACAGATATTAAAGACAAAAATAAATTTAACAAGATTGCTTTCGAAAAATCGTCGCTGGACGGCACAAGTAGCGCGTAGCGCGAAGCAGCTTTTTATTTCAAGAAGAAGCCGCTTCGCGATAAATATAAAAAATTATACAAGTAATAACGATTTCCAGTTATATTACTCCAAGTAACTCGCGCACTCTGTAGATTTTTTACCCATAATTGACACCCCCTGTACATAATTGAAAAAAATCCGCAAATGGTGGTTCTAGCCCTGGATCGTCTACTTCTTCTTCCAAGAATTTTTTCAAAATAGTGAATGGTTTTCGAGAAAATAAGTTTTTTCTGAAAACATGACGTCATCGCGTCTTGACTGACTTCCGAAATAGCGTTTTTAATATGGATTTTTTGAGCGAGCAGCGTATGTGATAGACGAACCGCAAATACAAAAATTGTAGCTCTTGTTGCGGCCTATGATACTGTTTGAACCGATTAGCCATATTTTTTACGATTTTTGATTTGCGGTTAATAATTTACTCTGTAAAAGAACATTTTTCTAGGTCTTTTAGATTTTTGCCTATAATTTGAAAACCCAGTATTTAATCGAAAAAATGCTTGAAATAAATATTATTCCACTGGATCGTCCGCGTCTGCTGGTTAAAGAATTTTGCCGATCGGGTGAAAGATTATGGAGGAAAACATATTTTTGTGAAACCCAAAAAAAATCTTTTTTTTAAATACTTGGTAAAATTTGATTGCACCCAAATTCTACTGTTTAAATGTGGACACGGACTTTTACTTCTCTGATAAATTTGAAGTTGATATCTGGAAATTTAGTACGGAATATCGGGACAACAGATGAAAACCTTAAATGCAAAAGTTTTAGCTATCTATGCGGGCCATATCGCAATGTAAAAGAAAGTGACGTCTCAATCATAGTCTTTCAGTTATAACCAATTTTTAATAATAGGGGGATCCATTTTTCAGATTTTTTTGAATTTGCGGCTCACCCTGTATATTTTTAAAAAATCGTCAGAAACAAATATTTATGGAGCGTCCTTTGGTTCAACAGTTTTTTTGGTCTCGTAAACGGAAAAATGATATTTTTTGTGGACCCTTGTACACGCAATTTTTTATTTTTTTAGAATACTTCCCGACCCCAGCCCCCCATTTTTAATAGCTTCCGTCACGGGGAAAGGCTGCAAATATGTGCCAAACATGAAGTCGATTGCTTCAAATTTCGTACACCAAAAGACGAGAATGGAGAACGAACAAACAGACAAAATTTACCGAGATATAATTTTTTTATACGAGCATATATACTTTCGAAAAATAGAAGGCTAATAAAATCATAATGCAGAATTAAAATTTGTACGGGATGTCAAAAATTCACATCGAATAAAGCTCTCGACTTCCCGGTAAAACCGGACAAACTTCATTAAATTTCCGATCCACCGGCGCACAAAACCCTGCCTAATTTTAATAACAATCGTCAAACAATAAGACCCTTACAATATCGCTTTAAACGATATCGGTCATATCTGGGCGGCATTATAAAGCAAAACAAAAACAGACGCATCAAAATTTAATAACGCGACCCCTAGGGTTGGCTCTGGGGGAGAGTCTGCAAACCATAGATGATGGAAAGGACTGCAAACCACCGCGCAACCGAACGGGTGTATTTTGAATAGGGCCGACGCGACGGTTCTCTTTTACGAGGGGGCGATTAGACGCGCTTGCACAGGTGTCTTTTGCTCAAGTCGAGTTGACGCAGAACGACGTAAAATTATAAGTTCTGACTATATCAAAGTCTGCTATGAAATAAATGCAAATAACTAACATTTTTTTGAAAATTCGGATCACTTGGGTGTTCAAGTTCGATGTAAACTCTAAACATGTCAAAACCATGATGTTCTCTTGGCTCCGTCCACCCCAATCTAGCTTTCTAGAGGCTTCATGGTTTTTGACCTATAAAAAAAATATAGCTTATATTTTTGGCTGCGGCTTATCTTTCTATTATCATCATTATGGTTCTGTGTTTTAGGATTGGGTGTTTTATTTGCAGTTTGACAGAACATTTAAAATTCAAACTGCCGCGATAACGTAGTGTGCCAGTTTTCCATATATTTCAGTTGGTTAAGTCATCCAAAGATCGTCTTAACCTCTAAAATGCTCAAATTCGCGCGCTATCCCGGCAGCGCTTTATGAAGCAACTGCCTGATGGTGGACACAGCCATTTTTGCATTTATTGCTTTATTTCGCTTTTTTTCAATACTTTGCTATAACATGTTAGAGATTTTTTGAAATATTTTTTTTTCTGCATTAAAATCTTAATTTGCTGCTATTAGAACCTGTTGAAAGCTGAAGTTTCGGTTACAGTTTGCGAGAAATATATATACATAGTCGTCTCATGAATTATTCCGTGACACATCAAAAGAGACAAAACTCTGTATGACAGCAGATGTCTAAGTCTAAGGTTTTAAGGTATTTTTTCTTGCCAAATAACCTTATTAAACTCGTTTGATACAATGGAAAAATTATTTCACTTTTTTTTCTGGTACTAACCAAAACTTAAAACATTTTCTTCTTCTTCTTTTTCAGCGTTTTCCACTTTTGAACCTACGTCTCTCCAAGTTCCTTCTTGCATTTTCTTCTGCTATAGGCTGTTTGTATTCAACTTCGGCCGGTGATTAGTTTTAAATCATCCGTCCATCTCATTGGTGGTCTTTTCCTAGGTCTTCGAAATTCGTATGGTCTCCAAACCAGGACTCATTTTTGCCATTTGTTAGTATCTCTCCTGGCAACATGTCCTGCGTATTCCCATTTCAGTCTTTGTGCACTACGTCGGTTACCCTTATTCTTTGTCTTATCCATGTATCTTTAACAGATATTCTCAGCATTACCCTTTCCATTGCATATTGCGTGACTCTTGTTCATATTCTTCTTTGTGATGGTCCATATTTGTGCTGCATATGTAAGTATTGGCAGGATGCATGCGTCAAAAACTTTAGTTCTTATATGTGATGAAATTATTGGTTCTTCAGTGTATAGCTTAGTTTTCCGAAGGAAGGAAGATATATATATTCTTCATTTTCTTCATTACCTTGGTTTTGTCAATATTCGTTTTCAAACCAATCCTGCCGGACTCGGTGTGCAATTCCCTTAAGTTATTAGCTATTAGAATAATATCGTTCGCGAATCGCATGTTATTGAGGCGTTTGCTCCTTTGTTCGACCAGTTCAGTTTTTGAATATATCTTCTAGGACCAAGGCGACAGAGTGTCGCCTTGTTTAACACCTCTTTCTAATATTTTTCCTGGTGGTCGTAACTGTATACTAGTTTTAGCAAGATACATCCACCCTTAAGGATCCTCTCGGTGGTGATTCCGTTAACTCCGGGTGCTTTGTTTCTTTTAATATCCTTAATTGTCTTTGTTTTCTTGGGGCTGCTTTTATGCTGACCCTTTGTTTTTTTGTTCTATGTAATTCAGAAATTTCGATTCCATTTCTATCCTTTAGTAATAGAATTTAGTGTGTCCCTATTTTCGGCTTTAGACATTTTATACGTTTATTCTTTGCAATAAGTTATTGTTATTAGTTTGTTTTGGGCTTTTCTTAAAGCATCCTATTTTATAAATTTGTTTTCTTTTAGGAAGTCAGAAGTCTATCGCTCCCACTAGGCAACGATCAACAGTTCTCCAAACATGTTATTCTGGAAAATAAAAACGCACTTTGTACATCTAGTATATGATTTTATTGTAAAATGTCAAAAGTATAATAAATTATTGTTTATTAGTACAAATCTAAAGGATATTTTGTTCAAGGTTTATTCTCAAATTCCTCACATAAGTCACCCTATATTTCAAAAAAGCGCAAGTTAAAGTATTGTCTTGGTCAGTAACCAAGGTATATTTTTCAAAATCATCTTCGAAAGTTCTAAGTTTAACTTTTAAAAGAGTTTCTCGATAGCTATTCGAAGATACAATAAATTCGGGAGTGTAACTGTCGCCAAAAATAACGTTACTAATATTTTTATCTCCTGCGTTAAGCGCCACGTAAATTATAGCATTTAGGTTGAACGAGCAACCTGCGTGGTTAATATAAATATCAGCGGAATCAAATCCGTGTTTTTTCAAATATTTATATTGACTTTCATTCAAACGGAAACTGCAAATTTGCAAAACTTCTTTTATGTCAAATCTAACGCAATCGAAATGATTATCTGGCAAAAAGAATCCGTACTCCATTAACAGTTTTTCATTGCTATGAGCTCCGTAAGGTATGAAAATTTGCTCGTATTTTTCGTAACTTTTCAGGGTTACCAATTCATAAAACAACCGGCCCTGTTGTTTATAAATCATAACGTCGGTTTCGGCAAGATGATCGTGATTAAGCATGTCTAAAAATGGACACAGAGCCATCGATGGTGCGTTAGATAATTTAAATGTATTCAGTGACTTGAAAAGTTGAGGGTCAACGTATACAGCCCTAGTATTGACCAGGACGTATGCCCAGCGGAATAGATTTTCCTTAATCACGCAAAGCAACGGTTTCTTACAACATTGGCACAAACACGTAGGTATTATCGATCGTCTCATCTTGGCAAAGCTTTCAAGAAAATTGTTTCGTAATTTGTGTGCAGTAATTTTCAAATCATCAGGCAGTGCGGATATTTTTTCTAATGGGTTTAGCCAGGGTAGAATTGGCTCGGGGTCTGGCAAGCTCATTATATAACACTTATAAGCGGAACCTTTGCCTTTGTGCTTTTCGACTGCTAAAAATAACGACAGCAGTTCATGCATGGTGTACTCGTTTTCTTCCAAAGTATCTAGTAGGCTAGACTTTTCAATGGTTTCGTAAGTGACTAGAAGATCCAAAGGTATCCTAATAAGGGTTTCGTTCCGCTTGACCGATTTTTTAGCTGTTAATCCTCTTCCAGTGTGGGGAAATATACGTAGGTGTAAATGTAGAGGGTCGGTCCAATCATTTTTGGTCATCCATTTTCTCAAGTTTATGATAGATAAATCACTGTTCAAACTGAGGTTTTGGGTTTTCGATGCTCTTGTTCTTTTTCGTTTTGTTCTACCCATTTCGCAACATCTGGAAGGAAAATATATAAACTATATACAATTCAATAAAAAAAATGAATGAAATTAAAAAATAAATGAAACCTGCGAATATATATTTTTTTAAATATATTTTTGATTATATATTTTACATTCCAACAAAACAAAACAAGAATTTAATAACACTTTAAAATATAGAATGATGAAAATGAAAATTGATGACTTGCCGAATTACAAAAATCATTGGTTAGAATCGAAAATTATTGGTATTCAAACATCAATTTATTGCAACATTCCTGCTCCATTAAAATCCAAACAAAAAATGACAAGGGATTTGTTGCTCAAGAAGTTGTTAATTTTATGATATTAGTATTCATAATTTAGTTCTGATTACATACATTACATTACATACATTATAATATAAATTTAACAAATAATTTTTTCCTAAACATATAACCCTAGAATTTTTGTGTTGTTGCATAGGGAAAGACTAAAATAATACTAAACGTTATAACTGCTTAACTTATTTTATATATGGGAGAGTTAGCCAAGCATATTTTGTTAATAAACATGAACGTCTAGTAGAGAGTTCAATTAAGAAAATATCTTCGAAATGGGTCTATCTATACATCTTCTATCTATCCCCAAATCCGCTAAACGATTTTTCCGGATATCTTCGGATATACTCGGGATTTTTTAACTTCAAGAGAGAATGTTAAAAAATCCATTTTCCAATTCAACACATCGACTCAATACAGTTCGGGGTATCTCTGGCCAATCTCTTTTGAAAATTTGAATAAAAAAAAAAAACAAGTTCCAGATGATTCTTCGACATATAATCGCATAGACGCGAACAATTATTTTCAATTATTACCAAATTTTAGAAAACTTCATAAAGTAATTATAAAAAAGAAACATACATATCTGGTATTTGAGCAGCACCCAATGCTTAACTAACGGATAAACCGCTTCCGCACGATTTATAACTTGCGAACCAGCGGTTTCGATGCTTTATTGATTTTAGGGAGCAGCGACCTAGTTAGAAAATCGCCGTTTGTATAACCTTTTGAGTATTTGAGAATGAATTAGTTACTGCGTAAAATAGACCATAATAACTTTTAAAATATTTGAAAACGATTCGCGAACGCTTCCGTCGATTCATATATAGCGTCCCTAGCGTATCCCGTACGGACATTCTCGTGTCTACGACAAAGACAGAAAATAACCTTGCCACATCATAAATTAACACAGCACTTTAACTACAACGATTAAAAATATTATCACCTTGCTTGTGGTAAAGGAATTTACACTACGGTAGGTATTTAGTAATTTTTAGCTGAACGTTAGAGACTTAATCTATAAGGTATTTCTCTGTAACCTCACTCGCACCATTACCCTGACATAACCTAAACGTTTCAGATTTGTGCTAAACAGGGAGTCTCAAAGAAATTTTAAATGGGCAGCAGCAATATCGAAATTTGCAACGGTAGCGGCCTAGATTGTTGTAAAGAATACAAACGATTAAAAATTTTGCCAGCAAATGATCAAATCAAAGAATTACAAACCATATTACGAGACAAGTGCAAGTGAATATGTTTTATGAGAATACACACTAACAGTTGTATTTTTCAGAAACACCACACGTAGTGATTTTAAATTTTATGCAGATAGACTGATTCGTCTAGTCATAGAGGAGAGTTTAAATCAACTACCTTTTACAGAATGCAATGTAGTAACACCAACGAGTGCCACTTACCATGGTTTGAAATACAAATCAGGTGATACAAACGGATTAGTTGCAATTTGAGGAGTAATAAAGTGTGTAAAATAATTTTCAGGTAACTGTGGTGTTTCAATAGTAAGATCTGGAGAAGCTATGGAGCAAGGGTTAAGAGATTGTTGTCGTAGTATTAGAATAGGAAAAATTTTAGTTGAGTCTGATGCAGATACGCATGAGGCCCGAGTTGTGTATGCAAGGTTTCCAGAAGATATTGCACAGAGGCATGTACGTATATTCAATTTATGAAAGTATTCTTAGAAATTTTAGTAGTTTTGAAGATGTACTTCTCCCACCATACCTGAAAAATGATTCTTTAAGGTTTTACTGATGTATCCCATTATGTCAACTGGAAACACTGTTAGCAAGGCTGTGAATGTTTTAAAAGAACATGGAGTTAAGGAGGAGTGTATTATTTTAAGCAATTTATTTTGTACACCTCAAGCTGTACACACAGTACTGGACTCTTATCCTAAAGTACGTTGGAATTACTTACATCGACAAGAAAAAATTTAATTAAAATTGCGCTGTTGCAGATGAAAATTTTAACCTCAGAAATCCATCCCGTTGCTCCAAATCATTTTGGCCAAAAATATTTTGGCACTGATTAAAACCAAGACTGATTTCCTGTAAGCACTTTTTTGGCCCTTTTATGTTAACCAAATTGACCTAATTTTTTGTTTGATTTATTGAATCCCAGACAATAAAACAAACGCTTGTTTATATTTTGGTTGTTGAATAGAGTGTGGGATAGTCATTTTTTAGTATCTACTTCATAAATCATTAGGAAGTAATTCGACTTCAATTATTGTAATGGTAGTTAATTAAGTTAACCTTGAAAAGAATTAAAAAAGAAGACCTGTATATTAAAGAACAGAACTCATCCCTTAAAATCTGAAGTAATGCAAGTATACAATTATATTACACTGATTGTCGCAACAATTTATCAGTCAAACTGATCGTTAGGAAATAAAACCATATATGAAAATATTTTGTTACTTTTATAACAAATGAATGCAATTAATTTTATGCCAACTCTTGTGCAAAACCATAAATGAATAAATTTATTAATTGGACAAAATAATTGTTTTTATTAAAATGCGAGAGCATCAACGAAATGGGACATTTTTGTCAAGGATCACCTTTCTCATTGAATGGTATGGAGGAATCAAAAAATAAAATTTGAAAACATGATTTTTTTGCAATTAATACTTATAAACCCTGAATTTATCATTCTGCGCTTTTTCACTAGTAAAATTCATATCTTGGAAAACATCTATTAAAGTAATGTTTGTATTAGAATATTTATATAATTTATAATTATTTATTAAATGATAGTGAAAATCATATAACCTAAAAAAAATATTTGAAAAACAATTTTTATTAAGAAAATAAGAAAAACTGCATTAGCTGAATAATGTTGAACAATTTATTTAAATATATTTAAAGAATTTTGTGCAGAGAATAATTTGATTTTCTATATATGTGTCTTCAAGTTGAGTGATTCCATCCGGTTTTATTATGTAAAATGCGATTTGCTTTGAAAATAAATTTTCGATATAATATATTTCTATACGCCAATTTTTTTGTATTTCACTCCTTTTTCTGCGGTAATGTGTAATGCAAGAAGCAATAAAAATTAATGCTTCTGCTCATCTTTTTAATTATTAAAAGATTGCTTTTAAGTTTTGCCAAATATGTTTTTGAATTTGATATTAGGTAATATTATCTACTCCTTTCTCTGTCTTACCCGATCCTCCCTCTTTGCGTTAGAGCATAGAAATTATTATAAAGCAATAAACAAGTAGTTGTGAACAGTATCCCTTACAACAATGCACAAATTACGACGATACGCGGGCCCTTTGTGATTCGCCCTTTTGTAATTTCGTAATTCACCCTCGTATTAAATGATCATTTAGATACACTTCACGCGCCGGTATCACCCCAAGTTAGTCTGGTCACCAAATCGGAAAAGAAATATTTCAATATTTCAATCTGGGGGGTCATTTTTCCAAATTCTGTGTACGGGTTTTATTTGCAGATAGACAACTTTTTCTTTAATTTTCCCGTAGATTTTGAAGAGGGAAGAGGTTTTTTACATTTGTCAGTTTTTATGGTAAGATGAATTCATGTTGTTTTGTACGCAACACATTGATAAACTGTTTAACTCGTTGATTAAACACTTTGCTACTCTCTACTCGTGGCAAAACTCGGGACTAAAATGGCATTTATCCAACATAAAGTATTACTCGATTTTCATATTTTATCTGTTTTATATCTGTATATTATCTGCTAGTTTAGATTTTTTTTTTTACTGTTTGCTTTATTTAGAGTAACAAAAATATATCAGTTTCAACATTATGCCCTAAAAACTGCAATAAATTAAATATTAAAAAAATTCGAATTCTCATGAATATTGGAGCAAAACATGTAATTATTATTTTTTTGTTTATTTTTGTAACATTTGTTCGCTTACTAATGGAATTTTATACAACATGAAATTTTTCTACTTGTTAATGAATTAAAATTAACTTCATTTTAAAAAAAAAATCAATCAAATCAAAAATCTTAAATTTATCAAGTTTTACCTAACTGTATTTTCTTTAAAAACAATTAAGTTATAAAAATCGGTCGATCGTAACAGCTGCCGCTTACGTAATCACCAGGCGATTTGCGCCGATTTTACATCAACGATTTTTAATACATATTGATGAAGATGTGATGTAAATCGCCCTATGAAACACCGAAAGGGCCAAAATCCGAAAAGCAAACCAAGCCAGTATAATCTTCCCGGTCAACAAGCAAGGGACGTGGTGCAGCTTGCACCTTGTCGATTTAACTAAATCCTCTTTAGGAAGTTCTGGAAGTTAGTTGGGCTTGATTATATTCTAGTTGCTGTACGTTCTACGTTGTGAGTTTCCATATTTCACAATGAAGACTGAAGAATCGATTGATTTCAAACCGGAACTGACGAAAACAGGTTTTCAATATTCAATATTCTCCCATCTCTTGTTCGGAAATATGTTGGAATTTCAAAAATGTTTACAAAATGATTCGACATAGGTACCTAACGTAGTCACTAAACTAACAATTCATCAGAACTCTCGGCGACTGACAAAAATACATTGCGAACTTGTTCCAATGTGTTCCAGTATAATACGGTTTCCAAATATTTTGTTTATATTTTGTTTTCTCTAACCAAGTATTTTGCCTCTTGAAACATTTAAGGAAAGTTCAATTATTTGATATTTCGTTTATTAATAGCATAAAGCCACGTTCCTCTGTTAAGTGTCATTCAATAAATATGGCGTCTAATATTCGTGTGCCAATTATACCGATTTAAGCATTGACTCCTAATCTGACTGGTAAATTCATCAATAAATGGAATTTTATTATTTAGATTAACGTTTTTTCTAAATCAATAAATACTGATGAAATTGAAATCTGTAACATTTATGATCATACTTTTTTAAGATGCGTCTAACAGATTCTCTATTTACTTTAAGTTCTCTCTTTGAAACCGTGGCACAAGCTTCCACCAACCTCGTGGAAATATTTTTTATATTTCCCACTTCATTTTGATTTCCCTGTTCCTGTCTTTGATTTCTAAACTTTTCAAGTTTTCTAAAATACTGCCTTCTTGAATGATGCTTTTAACGTTCTGCTGGCTATGATTCCAATCGCATGAACGCAATGAATAAAGTAAATTAGAATTGGTTTACACTTGTTATATTATCAGTAGAAATTTATTTTATGTATCCCCTTAAAATTTAAATACATAGCAATTTTCCTTAAAAATGAATATTTATTATTTGCAATATGAAAAAGTTGAAATGTAACTAATGGAAAGCTGTAAAAGAAATGTCAAAAAACATCTTTTGTCCCCCTGTAAGGTTAAAGTGGTAAGATTGAAATTAGCATTTCTCTCAATTTTTGGTTTTAACTAATTGGAAAGTTAAACTTGTATTATAATAGCACCAGTTAGTTTTCAAGACATAAAAAATTACAATAAATCTGTTGGTTCCAGTAGATTGTACAAAATTGAAAACAATAACTTTTCATATGTGTAACCAACCTTCCGAAAATATTAGTTTTTGTCTCAATACTTAATTCACAAACATTAAGTTTCTCATTTTCAATCTATTCTTTTTAAATAAGTTCGTTAGTTCCTGATAATAGTTGCTGTTTTATTTTACCACATAGTTAATGCCCATATTCTACTCAGTTACAAAATATATAGATCGCTAATTAAAAAAAAAAACTCGAAATTTTTATGCTAAACAGTTGTACGATAAAAATTGCCTATAATCCACCCAACAAAAACATCCGAATACAGGACAATAGGTCAATCACAACGTAAAATCCCATCTCTAGTGGTCAGTTGGGCATGAAGATGTCGTTTTGATAGCGGTCCGCACCTGTAGGTTTCCGGGTGGAAGGGACTTTCACCGCAGGAGTGCAGTATAGATACCAAGGGCGTAGGTGGTAAATGTTTTCGTTTATTTTACATGTTTTTTTGTAAGTTTTGTAGTAAGAAGCTTTTCGTATTTTATTTGACTATTTATATAGGTATTAACCTTCCAATCTCCTGGTTTTTATTTTGATGCATAACTTTTTTAAGACTGAACAATCGCAACATAAATTTAATAACCACGAGTATTACGTAGGTAAAAGCCCAATAGTTGGCAATACCAATAATATAATTTATATTATTATTAATTTTTTCTACTCTAAAATACCCATAAATGTTTATCAGTTCTGAATAATTATACATTTGTTTTGCACCCTTCACCACTTCACTCTCTGGAAGTATTCATGCTGTATTGCGAAGACCGTCGCGGTCGCAGAAAAACTATGGCATGCAATCTGCAGATACTCTTTGATCAAAATCTCCGCTTTTTATTAAATAAACTTGTTACTAAAGTCTCGCCATTGAAAGACAGATTATTTGAAAACGCTAGCTGGAATATTTTTTTAAGATATCTCCTCTATAATCTGCTAGATCTTTCTTGCAATGGAGTCCAGGTTGGCTATCTAAAGAAAATTATAACTTCTACTCATTTCTATTCATTGATGTTACATACAACCAAAATTGGAACGAATTGGAATTTGTTTCATATACTTTGTGTAAATCCTCCGCCACTGCGTTTTGCATTGTGGTATCACACTCCGGGAACGCCCAGCATCTGCCAGCCTTCAACGCCGCACATAAACACGACGTAAATGGCGATATTTATCTCGGCTTGTGCATCTCCACGGCCCGTCGAATCCTGGAGGACCTACTGTGGGAGCCGGCACGTGCCAGGGAAATAACGCACGTGCCGTTTGGCTGCAAGGTGCTGCCCACGTGACGCCGTTCCTAAAGTGCGACAAGTGTTCGCTAATTTTGGTTTTGCTTATTACGACGCATTTTTTAACTAAGTATAACAAACAACAACTATAATGGCAGGTCCGTAACTACGCAACAAAAATTAAGAAATAATAGGTAGCGCCTATGCGTAGTTCGAGAAGCAAACATGAATTATATTATATTTCAGAAAGCCTGGGGCCAAAAAAAAGGAAAGGAATTAACACTGTTGAAAGCTATAGAAAAATATATCATAGCAAAGGTTTTTGCTAAATTATTTTGTTTAATTCCAATTCTAATTCTAAAAAAGTATCTTACGTTTAATGAACGATTTACTAGCAAGATTTTCTTTTAAATGACACTTATTTGTGGATAGTGCTTGGCAAAAATGACATTTTATTATTATTTTATAATACAAAGATTTTTCCGCTATTTGAAAAATAATTTTCTCTGGTTTGGTTTTGCCATGATTGTAGCCCCTAAATTGTTGTAAATTGTTTTTCTATCTTGTTTTTGCGGACCACTATGGAACTTGTGTCTTTCAGGTCTCGCTAAACTTCAAAGTTACCAGTAATAGCGATTTCCATGGATGTTTTTTCAAATATCTCGCTCGATCTGTTTGATGAACGCAAACTGTAAATAGAAACTTGTAGCTCTAGGCACAGATTACGATACTGTTAAAACCATATTATCCCATCTTTTGCCGTTTTTGGTCCAATAATTTTCGGGCAAAAACGGAAATTTGTAGGATCTCTTAGATTTTTTGCCCAAAAACATCACACCCAGTATATAATTCAAAAAATAGTCTATGTACGAATCTTCCACGTTTCCTGGCCCATGAATTGAAAATATTTTTAAAACTATGCAGTATGCTGTAATAGTCAATGACAAATACAAATATTATAGCTCTTGGTGGGGCCTATAATACTGTTAAAACCAATTATCCATATTTTTTGGGATTTATGGCTAACAATTTATTTCCGAAAAGAATCATTTCCAGGGTTTTTGTCTATATTAGAAAATCCGATTTCATCGATTTTTCAAAAGCAACAAGGTTGTTTTCGATGTCTCCTGTATAAAAAAAGAATTTAGAAAAGATACTTCAAAAGATTCATCACTCTAACAAAACAAACCAAACTCTTTTTAGAATTACCTAACAAATGTTAATTATTCCAATATACGGTTTTGTTTTATTTACAATTATTATTCGTTGTTTTCAAACAAACCGTTTAAGCTTCCGCCCGTCGTCGCCATTCCATATTAAGGACCAAGATTACCTTCGCTTTATGATGATGTATACTCCTGTCATGAAGATATGCGAAGTTTTTTATTTCAGGCATCCTTTAAACGTACTTTTTTTTTATCCAAAGGCATCGAGGCACTGTATATCGTAAGTTTTTATTTCCTATCTTCGTGTTGGTTAATATTAGTCAGACCTGACTACCTTGGTAAAATTTCTGCCAAAAACCGAAATTTTTGCGTTCCGCCAGCCGTGCCACGTTTAAAAAGTTAATGAAATTATCAAACCGTAAATAAGTCGTAATATGATCCCCGGCCATCAGCTGAACGTCCCCATTGCTCCACCCTCCGCGTGCAGCAGGAACAAGTGTACGTGCAGTGGGCTTACATTAATTCTGCATTAACATTGGGAGGAGGCGGGGCGAGTTAAGTGACGTGCAGGGTTTGCACTGGAACCTGATAAAGGACACACTTGCTGAAAAGACCAGGAACGGATTACAAAATTTTGCGAACCTTTTCTGGAAATTTGGAAAAACAGTTTTTTATAGAACTTCGAGCATTTTTGTCGCTTTCAGATTTCGTATAATTTATGTATGTAATGTATAATGTGGCAACAGAAAATTGAAAATGTGAAATTGCCATCGGTTCGCAATTTTGTTTAATTTTGTTTAAAACTATCCCTTCATATAGAGTGGACGGCTAAACTATGGAAAAAATTCATTTAAAAATCAATTTACAAAAAAATGCCCCCCCACACGTCCATCATCATTTTTTCTGCGCATTTTATGCAGTAAACCGAAAATATACCGTAAATTGTTACAATTATGCATATTTATTTACATATTTACAAAGTAAATATGCCGCATCTAAATGAAACCCAGAGAATTGAAATTTTAACTTTATTTTTTATGGAGACAAAACCAGAACCTTACCTCCTAGCATACAATAAGTTACATTCCAGAATATTTTTCCTAAAAATAAAAATTTGCTTACTCTGTAAGTAATGCAGAAAGCTCGTCCGTGTCCTTTAATTTTGACGTCACACAAAAACGCTACTCCATTGGTTGTGACGTCACGAGGTACGTGAAGAGAGGCAAGCCTATTGTCACCATACATTTTAATATGTAATATTTCTTCCCGCGTGTGATATTCATCGATGCGTAAAGTAGAGTTAAAATATCTTGAATATTACTTTGCCTTTTCCTTTTTTCAACTGCCATTCGATTAATTGGTGGACAAGTCCGCTTTCTGTCTTCTTGGCCAGCAAAAATGCCATCATTGTCCTTTCCATATAGTTTTCCATGTCTTGCTCGAACTAAAAAAGACAATATGAGCACAATAACAAACAAAAGTAAGGTTAGGCTACTATTTATTTTTCTTTTAAACTTAAACTTGCCAGGTTCGCGTCTAATGGCTTTTTGTCATAGTTTTCGTTGTTTTGATTTAATTTTAATAAATATTTTCCCGGAACAGAAATGGTTGTAGTTTTACACCCTGGCACGATAAAATAACGATAAACCAGTTTCAACTCAAAAATAACTGAATACTCATGAAAAAATGTTGATAACTGTCAACACGAAAACGTACCTCGTGACGTCACCAACAGCTGAAGCACATTACATTTTTAGAGGAAAATTGTCCAGTTCAAATTTTAATTATTTATTACAAGGTTAATATTTCACTTATTGTAACAATGTTTAGGGGGAATACGAATACTTACATATTTTCATCAAGGACCCTATGTGAAACTGAACTATGAAATGTATGGACGGGGATTTTGAATAACTAAATTATTGGAGCTTATTTCTTCGATTAAAGATATTACTGGAGTCCGGTATTTACAATGCTGTATAAGTTATAACGCGGTATCGACATCTACTTTTTGACGCACCCTGCAAATATTTTTAAAAAATGATGATGAAAGTGTGCGAAGATTTTTCTTACAATATCTGACTCTTAAATGAATTTGCCCCGTATTTTGGGCGTTCACTGTATAAACCCATGTTGATTAATCGTGACTAAAATACTAAAATATTCGGCTTCAAATGGGGAAATGCAGGCTTTGATATTAATAATCCCTTACTTGCCACCTGCTCCAAGACAGGACATTTAAGATTATGAATAAATTTATAAAAAATAATAAAAATACAGTAGGTATACACAGATCACATGTCGTTGACGAAAAACTTCTTTGTAATGTTTCTGTAGAAACGAATACAAAAAAGAAATAGTTAGAAAAAGTTAACCAAACATTCTCTCAAAATACTTATTACGGTCCTGTCCAGAAATCAGAAACGGTCCACCAGATCATTCCGTTTGCTGCAACTGCAGGATCGGGCGAATGTACACGGGGGTGACAATTCCTGCCTGCCACTACCCCGTGACCATGCCCTGGTTAGGGTGGGCGGTAGGTGGATGTGATAGGCCCCCAGAAAAACGCAGCCTAATCACATTTTAGTTTATCCAAAACCACCAAACGATTACAAATAATTGCAATCGCCAGGGAGACACCCTGTCAAACAAGTCGACAACGTCACAACATTCGGGTGCCTACTTTTTAAACTAAATTAAATTTTTAAATGGATCAACAACCAGCAAGCTGTAGTGCGCCCTTAAGTCAAGAGCAGCTGCTGAATTGTTGCAAGCCAGATAGACAAACTCTCTCCGATTGTTGCGCGTTAATTGCAAATATCGAACAGTCGCAACTTATAGCAGGTTTCAAGCATCAAGAAAAGGTTACTAGTGTCGGTGTTTCCGAATTTTTAAGATCGTCGTCTTCAGTAAGGGTTGTTGCTAGTAGTTGCATACCTCAGGGTTCGATGACGTTCCCCATAGAACCGAAAGCGCTTGTTGGAAAATCGGAATTAGCACAAGTAAGTAAAAAAATATTTGTCATATTCCTGTGGTCATAAACACGTTACTCCTAGTGAAATAAACTTAAACTTCTCCTCTAGTTGCTATTAATATTTAGAGGTCCCAAATTAAAAAAAAAATAAAATTTGGCCATTATGTATCAATTTTTTTTGTAAATACCAGGTGAATTAAAATAGTCATTAATTTTTTTCGTAGATATCAGTAAATCTCAACTCGTTCGGAGCCATAGACTTAGACAACAGTTCCAAATGCGCGTGGGACAAGAATTTACATTGGATTCGAGCGCTTAGATTTTCTGACGATTGCCATTCGTACAATGTTCAACTCAAGTTCCAACCGTCCCAGAGGTACGAGGCAGTATTTTGAATATCATACCTCAATTTTTGTTTTTGTCCATATTAAATTTTGGAAAAAAATTGAAACTTGAAAATTTTTGATATGTCTTCAAAAATATTTTTTTCTTAATAGGGTTCACCCAAATAATATTAAGCAGGATCGTATGCCAAAAATGATTCTACAAGCGATCAGGTCGATCGAAATTGGACAGGAACTTCAACTCTGGTTTTCTGAAGATGTTTTGGCGATGTTGCAAATCGTATTTTTGAGCCCCTCAAACATACAAGGTAACTTTTTAATTAAGTTTGAACTGTTATTCAATTGAGCATTTTTTGCAAGTGGTCTTTGCATCAAAATAATTAGCTTTAAGTGGTCGATAATTTTCCATATTTCGTTTTGGGTGTTTTGAGTGTTTATTTTTGACTCGCATTATTTATCGCTCTAACGAACGCAGTTATAATTCTGTCATTCGTAATATTGTTTACCCATGGGAACCCACTTTGGTATTTTTTCGAAGTGAACGGAACGTGAATCGGAAAATATAGTCTGGCTTTATGAAAGCTCTGGTTGTAGTTGATCGAGCGGGCCGCGGATCGTTGGATTCCCTTTTAATAATCGATTAAGTGATTAAATTATTCATTTGTTTTAAGCACTGTGTTGTGCATTCTTTTAATATGTCCGAGAAGTCTAACCCTAGGACGCCTCGCTCGCCATTAGAACCGGCCACTCCGGGATTCTATTTGTATTTTATTATTTTTATTATATTATTTCGATCTCCGACACATATAACATTGAAGCATCTAGTTCTGGTGTAGTTTAATTTAGGTTTAGGCCAAGATGAAGGCCAAGCAGTCGTGGCCGAGTGGTTAAGGCGTCTGACTCGAAATCAGATTCCCTCTGGGAGCGTAGGTTCAAATCCTACCGGCTGCGAGTTTTTTTATTACATTTTTACATTTAGATTCTTTCTGTCGTTTGCAACAATTTATTTAAATCTAGGGTTTAGAGGAAATTACTCCTAACTCATACTTATAAAATAAAAAAAGAAATATCTCATTCCTACATTCGAACGATTATTTTTTAGCACAAAACCATGGAGTCCCCAAATGCAGACAAATAGTCCAAATTTACCTTGTGTTCTAATATTTTTTAACAGGCACAATTGATACAACAAAATTTTACGAAGATTTTAATATATTAAAAATCGGTAAACATATAAACATTGGCCTGAAATTCTTTCGTAGAGAAGGTAGTATGCCACACGTCTAGGAAAAAATGTTGTGTCTGCTTACCGCCCTTCATATACAGAAACATCAGTGCAAATATCTTTGAACTATTTCCAAATAAACCAACGAGGGTCTAGCAGAAAATACAACTTAAAAAAAAATATACGCCCATTGGAAATGTAAGAATTTTGAACTAACTGTCTTTCTTTATGAAATAAACTGTATTAAATTGGAAATTTCAATTAATAATTATTTTTCAGGGCAAAAAAAATACGTTTGCACCCGTTGTTCGGCTCTCTATGAATCACCGAACCCGTTAAAGCTACACATTACGCTAGGATGCGGCAATCTCCCAATATCGACGCTTTGGGAACGTCTGGCCTTTTTGTTGTCCGGAAAAGAAAGCTTGCGCGGCACCTTTAAGAGAACTTCCTTTGATTTTAAGTTGTCACTGGAACCCGAAATTCGAAACAATGCCCTAGATTTGTCAACCAATGCAGTCACAACCGCAAAAACTTTATACAGACCGTACTACACGGAGTCTTCGGCTTTTAAACCGTTTAAGAAGGATGCCAACTCAGTTCGAGAATTTCCACGCATTTGGCCGATAGATTTCGAAACCAATGTCGTGCAGATACATCAGAATTTGATCAACTCGCAAAACCTGGCACAGCATCAGATCACTTACAACGACGATGCCCAAATAGAGACCTTAGTGAGCAGCCTGGGCAAAGCGAAGCAAGGTCATATTTGCTTGTACTGCGGAAAATGTTACTCAAGAAAATACGGTTTGAAAATTCATATCCGAACTCACACAGGCTACAAACCGCTAAAGTGCAAATTTTGTGATAGGCCCTTTGGTGATCCTAGCAACTTGAACAAGCACGTCAGATTGCACGCTGAAGGAAATACCCCATATAAGTAAGCATAATTTAATGTTAGAAAATAATTATTTAAAAAAACATACAATTAAATTAGCAACAATCATGAGACATGTCGTACAGTTATGTAGCCAACATCAGAGTTGCTGAATATATTCAATTCTATGCCCCAGATTTGTAGTGGGGAATGTGTTATACAAAATTTGAGTGAAAAACAAAAAACAAAACAAAATGGGGTAAAAACATACTCAGATTTATTTGTCCTTTCAATGAATATCCATTTTTTGTTTAAAACTAAATTTTCATCCTTTAACCACACATGTTAAAAGACGGTTCATTTAAAATTGATAAAATAATAAAAGAATTTACATTTTAGGCAATAATTTCTTTAACGAGAATTGTTGAGTTTATTTCCCGACACATTAAAATTCATTTTAGTTTTTCGCATTTCAAATTATGATGAACTATAACTCGAATGATTATTTGACTTAAGCATGTGCCGCTGTATCATTAATAACTTAATTATTAAATTACTATTAATTAATAATTTAAACTGTATGTTCATTTCATCCTCTTCTTTTAGTTTTTCTTGAATTTTTAAATTTATTTTAATTTTATTCGTTTTTTTAAATATCGTGAATCTTTTGAGGTACCATTTGTTGTCTCCAACTTATTGACGCCCTATGGTTTCTCTGAAAAATGTTTTCAAAAATCTTATTCTTATTCGATTTTGCTATTATTACAGATGTGACCTATGTGGAAAAATATTAGTGCGAAGGCGTGATTTGGACAGACATTTAAAGTCGAGACACATGGTCGAGATGCTTCCCGGATCAAACATTATCCCGCCAGATACTCTTAGTGAAGACGCGCAAGTGAGTGACGAAGATCGCCAGACGACAATGGAAAAGGAAAATGATAATGATCCCGCTACTTAGTATTACTACAATTTTTTTCAAAATATATTGCGTTATTTTTGATAAATTTGTACAGTACGAAAAAAATGTGATATTTTTGTAATAACTTTGTATAAATCAAAGATTTTAAAAAAATTTGTTTTTGTCCGTTATTGCAATTGAATTCGTAATTTATAATTGCAAGTAAAGCTAGAACACAGATAAAGTTAAAAATTGAAAATTTTTATTGGAAATTTATTGCAAAATTGGAAACTGACCATAAATTTCTCTTTTTCAGTAGTTCGGATAAATACTTTTTCTAAGTAACAAAGACATAGGTAAACCTCACTTTACTTACCGACTTGCATTTAGTAAACAACGCGAATTTTAAAATTAAAACCAGAATGACCATAAAATAACTACCAATTTTCTGTTTCCTTATTTTCTGCTAATGATGATCACCTGTTTAAATCGGAATTTGTCTCGTTGGCAATGATATCCGAAGGGCGTTGGTCAATCACGCTCGACCACATGCAAAGGCCCATAAACTGCCGACCTCTACAAACGGCTAAAAAATAAACACGACTAAATATAAACAAACTTCAAAGAAAGATTTCAAGCAAGACGCTCTAGAAATCTAATTACTAATCACAGAATGGTATTCTTCCGATAACTTGCGACAAAATAATATAATTTCTATGATGAAAAATCAACGCTACGAAAATACTAAATATTTTACTGTTTCCATAGAAATGTGAAAGAAAGAAAGCAACACTAAAATAAATAAAAGTAGTGTCTACTAAGTTGGTATATAAATTTCTACATCCCTGTTAGTGGCCAACAATTTATAATTTTTTGGTATTAAAAGTGGTAAATTAATAACAGGAAGGATTTCATTTCTAAAATAACTCTGTAGGATTTTAATATTTAGTATTTTTCCGAATAATAAAGTAATGCAGAAAATAGGCTGAAGCGGAACACCCTGTATAATATATATGTACACGTACGATACAAAAATGTTGCAGCAAGAAACGACCAAACAAGATGCATGTTATACCAACCAAAAAACGAAAACTCTCCGTCCTTGCGACCGATACAGCCAGGAATTGGCGAAAAGTTATTGCACACAATAACGCAAAGCCAGTGTTGGTACAGCGGGGTACCGACAAACACGCACGTTTTTATCGGAAATAAATAAAACTTTAAAATGGAAGAAAAGATTTTCACATTTTCGCCTCAAATGTGATAAATGCGAATCTGAAATCACACTGTCTATAAATGTGAAACCCCTATTCCCTCTAGCTCTACAGATTCAGATCTTCTTGCATTAACTCGAATATCGATAATTATTCTGAAAAAGTGATTTCTGTATAAAAAGCATCAGAAACTTCATGTACCAACTTCATGTACCAAAAATTTTCTTTACTTCGTTACACGTAACCCCTCAACTGCAACGATATCCTGTACTGATACCGGAGTCATCCCTTCAACTCTCTCGCCGTTAATAACCATATTCAGTCTGCAAAGTTAACCATAAATTCATAAATAGCATAAATTTGGTCATAAAATTTAATTACAGGAATAGCACGAGTAGCTTCTACATGACTCCCTATCCCACTTCTGAAACTGCCGTAATGGGATGGCCCCGATAAAAGCGGATTTTTCATAATTTTAAAACAGACGCACACACAGACCACCGACACATTGTATCTGTATTACCCCTCACAGAGTATAAAATTTAAAATTAAATTGCTACACCTTAGACGTGTTCCGCCGCTGTATTATCCAAAAGTACAGCTCTGTACGTATTTTGGACGCACAGCAAAAACTAGATCTCGAGCAACAATAAGAATACCATGTCCGATTAATCCCTTATAGGTGGGACCGCCTATATAAGCAGTTACGAAACTCCATCTTATCAACACAATTTTGCGAGTACTGATTCACATCAGCAGCGCACAACCAAACATGAAATTTTTTATATTCGCTTCCGCTTTTCTGGTCTTCTGCGATGCCGTACCTTCCCCTGGTGAGTCTAATTTTTATTTTAAATCTTCAATACTTGCGAAATTTTTCCCGTCCATGATGTCGTGTATTTTGTAATCTGAAGTGAAAAAAATAATAGGTATTTTGGCCCCAATTGGTCCAGTGGCGTTAACAACAGCACCAGTATTTTCGATACCAGCTAAAGTTTCCAGCCAATATCATTCACAGGATGGACTCGGCCATTACGCATACGGCTATTCCAACGATCTTTCCGCTAAAAATGAAATTAAGCAACTAGATGGAACCACGGTGGGTTCCTACTCTTACGTCGACGCAGAAGGGCAAATCCAAAATGTACAGTACAGGTATGTTCGGGCAAATAATCATAGAGCATAATTTTATATAGCAGTAATATCAGGTTTGAATATAATTTATTGCGGATGGATTAAGGATTAATGTTATTTTTCTTTTATCCTATTTTTTGTAGATATTCTCTATACAAATGTACTGTATTAACTACCATACTTCCATTTTTGCCATAATCTCTCTGTCTCAATCTCTTAAAATTTATAACGGATATATGAATTGGGATGAATTGCGTATATTAAACACACTAGACAATGGAAACGATAAGAGAAGAAAATATTTATTAAGTTAATGTTCCACATAACCCCCATTTTGACGAAACTACTTAAACGTGCAATAAAAACGATATTCATCTGTACAACACTTTTGATAAATTTACAGAAGAGTAAAATTAAAAGTTTAATTTCTTAGCACTCTTTACAGCCTAGAAAGAAATAAATTTATTTTATTTAGTCATTTAGTCGGTTTTATCGTTTTATTATTATTTATTGAGAATCACTTCTGAAATCTTTTCGGGACTTAAATAAACTTCTCAATCAAAAGTATAAACTGAACATATCAAGATATAATATGAATTAATAACGTAATGCATCTATAAATTTTCATATAACACGAAAAGATCAATATAATTTTTTTTTGATAAATTTGATGCCACCTAATATTTAAATATTTGACGGCATGTCCTCATACAAATAAGCCACATCAAATAATAATTTCGTTTTCTCAAATACTTATGGATCTAAAGTCACAAGGCCTTATACCATACCAAAATTATAGTTCTCTCTACTATTTATTTTGTTTGTTCCTATACACGCAAATTTTTTTACTTAGCAAAAAGGGTCATTTGTGTATTTACTTTGAAGACGTGTGTTGTACGAAATAGGTCTGATGATGTTAACGGATTTAGAGTTTTCGCCACTAATCTCCCAGTTGCGCCATTACCTATCGACCCGATAAAGGTTGCTCTGCCCCAGCCTGTTCAGGACACACCCGAAGTGGTCCAAGCCAGGTCTCAACACCTCGCCGCAGTAAAAGAAGCCGAGGTAATGAAAAACGTATTTAAGGCGGCAGTGGTCCATTCTTGTTTATCCAAATCGTAAACCAAACCTTGAACATTGTTAATATACCATTTATACCGTTTGTTAAGGACAACGCAAATGCAAATAACGCCCAAAATTCAATTAACCTTTAAAAAAAAGCATAAATGCTTCTGGTTCCGCAGCATTTTCAAGTAATGATATCGGCGCCAAAGTAGTTGAACTTTACGAATACACGGTACTAATTGTGAATTGTTTTCAGCGAGACATTCAATTCGTTCCACACATTTTAATTTATTGTCGCCTGTATCGATTATCCTTTGCAGGAAAAACTACAATTCCATTTTGCAAAGTTTTTATTTTAAATATATTAAATAATTCTTAATAAACGTATTATTTGAACATTTTTATTAGAGCCATTGGTCGGTAAACTGACTTGTCTCGTTATCTACTATACTCTATTTAATTCCAAATCCCTGTACACTATTTTTATTAGAGTGGGTCAAAAAAAGCCTTTTTTTTGGATCTGATACACAAAAACTAGTTGCTAGTTTTGCATTTTTGATTTCGTCTCATTTATAATTAATCATTTTTTATCACCAATACGTCATTAAGTCAATTTTGTTAATAATTTTTATAGGAAATTGAAATCTCTACAAAAATTGCCTCCTGTGGTTTTTTCAATTTATTCATTGAATTAGTAAATTTTGGGATTATTTATTATCTATTTCAGAAAAAAAAGTTCTTTATTCGAGGAATGTCAATAAATGCTTAATAGAAATATTTTCCATCATATGAAATTTTATCACTGAATACAGTATTAACAGAAAAATATACATATTTTAGATTTAGTTATAGAAATCGACTTCTATTACAGTCATAAAATAGTCCTCGATTTTCTTTGACAACTTGCATAGTTACGTAAACACTGATCATATTCAGAGACCGACGCTCCACGCTCTGTTATCTTCGTTTTCCTTTTCATCTGAAACCCACGATGATTATTTTGGACGAATTCAATGATTTTTTAGAAGCCAAGTCACTGAAATCTTTTTGAAAAAACTAATTGATGTTCTTTTGATCGATCTCAAATTCTTGAACCCTAGAATTTGTACCATCGTTTTTATATCGAGTGAAACAGTGGCAAATTATCAATAAAATTGGCTTAACGATCTATTGGTGATAAAATATGATTATTTATATATGAGACTAAATCGAAACGACCAAACTATAATGAGGATAATCTCCCTATGAATGTTAATAACTCATACGTGTTAAGTACTTTCTAGAGGTAACTAGCAACTAGTTTTTGTGTGTCAATAATCGTTTTTTTTTGACCCACCCTAATTTCGTATGAATAAAGCAAACTAATCACTATGGAGCATCTGATGATATTAAATAATGAAAGTATAATATTTTTCAAAGAAACTTCCACAATTCTCAAAACTTCTGGATTCCTCCTGCGTCGGTGTTGGCTTTTTCAGAGCTTAACTAAAACTGGCTCTCAATAAGTATAATAAAAAATATTAAGTACGTAATGGATTTAAGAATCAAATTGAATATGACATGATTTTTTTCTGCAAAGGCAAAGGGCTTTTTAGCACATAAATAAAAGTATGAAAGTCATGAGTAATTTGGCAATCGCCAAGGTGGAATTTACTTACTGAAATATGTTGTCACAGTTCGTAATTTCTACAGATATATTCCTGTGCTACCAGCCTCAATTGCAATGCTTCCATGAGTTAAAAATAGTTTTGGCAATTAGTAATTGTTTTTAACAACTGCTTAATCATAATAATGGCCAATAACACAAAAATCGCAAATCAAACTTTATTTTTAAAGCACTTATACGACAAACAACGTTTTAGAAACCTAACGAGACGACAACAACTGCTGAACCAGAAAAATTAACGGAACCGTCTCCTACGGTAGCAGAAAATGCAACTGATGCTGTAATTCCGCAAGCGCCAGCATCTATACTGCGAGCAGCTTTGCCAGTTGTACATGCCCCATCGTTAGTCGCAACCCCATTCAGCTACGGTTTCAGCTATAGCACCGTTCAACTTAACCCTTACGTTGCTCAACCGTTGATTTCAACTTACCACGGTCCTGTGTTTTCCCAAGAACAACGTCATCTGGTACTCGAAACCAAACACGAAGAGCAAGTTGTGGATGAAACTGAACTTAATCAAGAGTCTGGCGTGGTGGTTGAAGCTGCGCGATCTGACAATCAGGCTACTGCACCCCTTCCCATCGCTCCTCAATTTACTCCGGAAGTTGCAAAGGCTAGGGCGGAACATTTGGAAGCAGTGGAAAACATCAAGAAAGATATTGAGAAGCAGTAATTTGCTTTGGTTGCTTTTTAGTGTAATTAGATAAGTTGATTAATCTTAAGTGGGATGTTTTGATTATAACATTTTACAAACTGTTTTGCCTTTAAGTTACCACCAACTTCTAGTCCTCATTTATGACAAATATCGTGCGAAATTAGCAAAATCCTGTCTATTTGAAACATACTGATGAAAATATCTACCCCATACCAGTTTACTACAGCCACAATTTAACACTGCTCGACCCAGGGTATTTGACATTCTAGGTAGTAAACTTGGAGTACGCGTCGTTCTGCAAATGTAAAAAATTAAAATGGAGATGACCAAAAAAAAAACAATAAGAAAAATATTCGAGGCTCCTGTAATTCGGAGACTATAGCTATCATGACCCACACTGCCCCAGCTGGGGTAGGTAAAACTAAAAATTAGATTCAATTCAATATAACTAACCAATTTTAAATAACGTGATAACGTTAAAATAGCTTCACAGGCCAGCGGATTCGATAAAAGTGTAACCTAATCAAAAATACTTAATTACGTTTTTGTGTATTAAATACTTCGCATTTGAGTCAAGGTTAGTAACAAAGGACCTGATGGGATTGAAACGTTTACGTTTCTAGACGAATTCACACACATCAGAAAACTCCAAACTGTTAGAAAATCCAGTACAGGGAATATTTCTATTATTCATTCATTAATGTAAATATCATACTAAAGATCGTTAATTTAAAGAAGTAAAAGAATAAAACACTTCAATAAGATTTTTTTAAAACAGAGATACCTATATGAGGTATAAGTTGTAGGAGTTTTTTTTGTAATTTTAATATTACTTTAGATTTTTTATCAAATTTGATAAAAAAAAATAGCAACAAAGGGCATTTTTTGGTACAAAATATTTTTTAATTTGTACCCGTGACGTCCGTGCCAGATTCCGAATCAATATTTTTAAAGAAAAAAAGTTATGATATTATTTCTCTAAAATTAAGAATATTTTCCAAACTTTTATTCAAATTTGATTTTTTTTTCATAGGCGCGCGTATGTAAAACTTTTTTTTTTCTTAATTAGAATAAACGAACTTTACTAATCATTCATGTACATTTCACAAAACAACAATTAGTAAGTCAGTAGACAACATCAAAAGTGGATTACCATTAAATAAATACGTAAATTATGAAAAAAATTGCTGCATTATTCTTTTGAACTTGCCATGCGGTAAAGACTTAATATTGATTAGTAGGACCTTAAAAAAATTAACAATGATGATATTAAAGAGTAAAATCAACTACTAAAAGCAGCCGTTGATTTAGTTGACTACAATAATTTAAAAACATATCTAGACTAAGAATCCAACCAACTATAGACCCTGGACAATTCAACGGCATTAAAAAATACATACTGAACGAAATGTTTTGGTACCGCTGACAAGGATGGATGTATTCACACAGCAAATTGTTAATATCCTGTCAAGTCCACCTACTATCGAGCGTATCTACCCTGCACCAGTTTGAATTACCGGTTTTTTTCCATTTAACAAATCTAACAGCGTCTTTTACACTCGTCGTCTTGAATTTTACGAAAAAGTCGTTACGGGTCGGTCGTCAGTTGCAAATCGACAAATTCAAAAATGACGAAGAAAAATAAGGTGCCCATCAGGTCGCTTAGCAGACAGGAAGAGTTGCTGGAGGAGCAGGCGAAATATTTTGTGGATTTGCAGGAAAGGAGGATGACGTCTATGGACAAGTTCAAAAAGTTTGTGTGGAACTCGGAAAATAAAGCTTTTATGGGCAGGACGGCGTCCAGCTGGTGTAAGTCAATCGATATAAAACTATGAAGGCGAAAAAAAGACGGTAATAATGTCATGCAATGTGATTTATCAATAACGCGTTTATGAGTTGAAATAAGTTAGTTATAAATTATTTAATCCATATATGGTGATAAATATCAGACAAGTTTAAGACAATTTATTATTAAAAAAAAGACGAGATTGGTTTTTGTTAATAGATCGAAATTCCTTTTCACACGCTCATTCGTGCTCATTCAACCAAATTTTGTTTTATGTCAATGGATTTTCAGCCACTGGTGCAAAGGGTCACCCTTCGTCCATACTTCAATGTGGTTGGATTTGTTTAAATTCCTTGTCAGTCAAGTAAGAAGAGAGCCAAAAGTTAGTTAATAACATAAGATTATCAAAATCAATCTCGAACTTTATAGCTGAAACACTTTAACAGTAGCGCTTAAGAAAAATCTTTGATTTTTTAATTTCATAAACCCTTGTTCAAGCCGTTGGTGTTGATAAACAAAAAGGAATTATTAAAAATTGCATGCATAATTGCCAATTGCTAATCCTACATTACTGACGTATAGACCAACTTTGCATCAGTGGCTAAGAATGCAATATCGGTAAAAAAAATGGTTGTAAATAGTCAAAATGAACTTCTTGATTGTCCACTTCATCTGCAATCAAATTAAAAAGTAAATAAACATTTTATTGTATTTATTATCAATAATAATTTAAAAATACAAGCGTAAATTAAAAAAAAATGACAAAACGTTTAGAAAAAAGGGACGTACTGAAGTGGGCATTTCGAATATCTAAAAAGCATGTTTTATTAGTCAACGCAAAATTAGAACATTGTTATAAAATTAAAAAGTTATTCTTTTATAAATGTACTAAACTACTAGGTCTCGCTTATGGTTTTCAAACAAATCCAGAAAATAACTGCCCAAGCCCATACAAACAATAGGCCAAAAAATTGGTAAAATCATTAATTATACTTAAATTTTACCTTCAATTAAGTATAGGAGTTCTGGGAAATAATTCATTCGTTTTTATCAGGTTTAATAAAAGCAAAAAAACAACAACACAGGACCTTAATATAGTGGTAAATGACATATTAGAAAAAGTTTTTTCTCTTCGTTTATTCACTTACCCATGGGCAGTAAAATAATTTCAATTATCACAGAAAAGTGGTTACAATTATACCAATTGATAAATTATAACTATCGCAAAATTGAAAATTAATGTTTACCTACGAAAAAAATTTAAGTTCAATTTGGGTTCAATCAAAAAATCACCCAAAAAATCTAAAATCAAGGCAGTCCTTTTAAATCATTTCATTTTTCTTAGTGCTCTATCTTGTGTGCAACATGTATACGTAATAGTTCGCTCAGTGTATTACAATTTTATTAGATTTAAACGCCACGAAAACCAACTTAATTACGTAAATTGCTGCGGTTAAAGGAAGACGCAGTGAGTCATGGGATCCTCCGATTTTGCCATGTGCCGACATACGATTATATACCCAGACATGGTAATTACCTGACATCCGAAACAATTGAAACCGCTTCTCGAGCATACGAGAAAAGGTTAAGAAAAAGAAAATATCATCCTCGCAATAAACGTAAGCAAGCGAGATATTACTGGCGAAAAATAAACACAGGATTTTTGTTCGGCCATATACACATATAAATATTAACGTGAATTGGTAGAAAAACAAGCGAGCCACTGGTTGAAGCTAACACATGATGTGCGTCACTCAATTTAGTATTTACTCAATCAAGCCGACGATAATTCGGCCAACTCGAGGTTAGAGCTACTTCCTAGATGTAATTGTAGAAGATATTGTTTTCCCTGTCGGGAACTTGACACCGTTTTGGTTAACACGTGATAATCATTCCCTTTTATAAGGTTACGCTTCGCTTAATTGGTTGTACTGGCCTGTTCGTCTAACAATGTTTTCCCGCATTTTGTACTTCACAATTTGGAGCTTAGGAATCACAGTGTTGATTGTTATTATTGTTCTTGTAATGTTCAAGGATTCACCGAAAAAATTAGAAACAAATTCTGTATCCCCACCTTGACTCTGCTATTTGAACAGTTCCTCATGGAGCAGATGTACCGATACCTACCACCCCAAAAGAACTAGAAAATGTCAAATCGTCAGAATCAGAGGAATCTAATTCCGACCCAGATGACTCAGATTTCACACCAGATTTCAGAGAGCCCGAAGTGTTTAACCAGAGCGAATTAAATGACTTAATTGGAGATTTCCACAGAAAAATTGTGTCTGTTTAAAAGGCACAAGGGTAACCAAATGGCCTCGGTTCCCATTGCACATTCCGTATATTTAAAAGAAACGTATGAAAATTTAGGACTTTTTTGGAAGATATTAAACTACCAAGAACATCGGTGAATGCTTTGTGGTGACATTAAAGTGCTGCGCATACTCCTAGGACAAAAGGGGAGTTATACAAAATTTCTACGCCTTATTTGTGAGTGGGATAGTCGAACAAGATATAGACATTGGACTCAAATAGAATATCCCTCTTGCACCTGGTAGAAAAAACGTATTAAGAGATAGCTTAGTTGACCCCAAAAAAAGGACGAAAACTACGAAAGTATTGTTCGAAATATGTTACAACACTTTCATAGTCTAGGTTGTATTATGAGTTTAAGAGTGCATTTCCTATTTCAAGCTTAAACTATTTTCCTGAAAATCTTGGAGAAGTTAGCGAATAACAGGAAGAGAGGTTTCACCAGGACATTAAGGAAATAGAACAGTTCGCCAGGCAGATGGATGTCTCACAACCGAATGTCCAAACAACGACGCTTTCTGGCAAAAAGACGAAGATTTCTCTCAAAAAAGTCTGAGTAAAGTTTTTTTTCACTCTTTTTTTGAATTAGGATTCCAATTTTTACTGAATAAAAAAAAAATTATCTTAAATATTTGCAAAAAAACCTTACGTGATACAAATAAATGAATAGAATTTTTAAAATCAGCCTACCAAAATTATATAAATATAAATAAAAAGTTTAATTTTGTATACCTGTGTTATTAACATGAAAAATATTTTTTCTTGCTATTCAAGAGTTACGTTTGCATTAATAAGTTTTAAAACCATATATGTTTTGGTTAGTTTTGATTAATATGTATATATTTTAAATATTACCCGGTTTTTTGAATATTGCTACCGTATGTATTGTTGGAGTTTCATTCATAAACAAAAATAAGTCTTCATAGCCTAAAAGCCAGTGATTCTAATATTATCTTGAAAAAATTTAGAAAAAATATTCGAAAGTGATTTGTAAATCTAATAGATATACTTCATTCGTCCCTAGTGTTACGTATAGCCGAAATGTTAGTCACCCAATGTGTACTTTAAAAGTGACTTAAGTCAACTGAACAAGTGTCGGTCCTGCAAAGGTACCCTGTGGCATACCGATACTGAAAATACTAAAAGTCTACGGTTGCTGCCAAAGAACCCGCCATAAAACGGATCGAATATGCAAGCAGCCTTACATGCAACGGTCAAAGGGGACTCCAAAAATAAAAGTCCACACGAGAGGTGTATTGTTGGGCAGTTAGCAAGGTTGCCAATATTAAATAAAAAATTAAGTCATCAATACTTTCAAAATTGTTCAAAAGGGAATTCGATAATTCCATAACAAAATTAAGACTACAAGAATCAGAGTGCAAAAATTAGATCCATCCTCGTCCTCAACAACGTAATGAGAGAAATAATTTTATTTATAATAATTAGAAGTGGCTCGATCTATTTTTTTTTAATATGAAACGTTACCCTACGCAATTTCAATCAGGATAAATATACAAAATAGGAATTTTTGTTTTGGCAATCAACATAACACCGTTCTAGGTGGATTTTTTATACACAGTGGAGCGTAAGGAGTTTTTGAATTCCTTCCCAACGCCAACTTGATTTTTAGGAATACTTTTTATGTATCCCAGTTTTTAATTTTGAACTGAAAATTCTGCGATGGGACCTCTAGATTAGTAAGGTGTTATGCCATGTTTAGGTTTATCAAGCTTTCTATGTAAATGTCAGAGTAGAGGGGCTTTTATTTACTTTTAATCAAAATGTTAAATTTGTGTCAATTCACTTCAGTATATTCTTCGCGTGCCATGCGCTTGCATCTTCGCATCTCCCATAGAAACGAAATAGATACCAACATTCTGACCACTACAGTCACTGACCCGTTGACTAATCGCCTTCGTGGATATGGCAACATCGCGATGAGCCATTCAGCCTCGCCTTTTACCTGTACAATAATGTTTACGTAGCGAAAGCGTCGTTCTTTTAATAAACTAACCTATATGTTTCAAACGAACTTAATGTTTTAGATATATATTTTTTTGTTTATTTGTGTAGTGTAGTGACTAGTGAAAAAAAAGATGACTAAAAACAATAGTTATTCAAGAAGAGACTACTATAGGACGAAACTTTATGACCCCAAAGATAAAACCGTACTGGGAAGATCAGCGGACAGTTGGGGTAAAGAAATTGCAGCATTCTTGTGTTTACCAGATTAGATAAATTTGGAGATTTCATCGCGCGATTGGGCGACGTACTTTTTTTTATTTTGATTTAGTGTACTTGATGATTTGAACCAAAACAAAGCACTTTTTACTTCGCAGAAGGTGTGGCTATTAAAAACGCCAAAAAGGCGTGGTGGAAAATATGTATCGTTATTAGTTAGTAAACTCGTTTTGTTTTTTAATTTAATTTCATTAATAAGTCTGTAGCGTTCAAATGCATTCTAAATTCGTGAAAGTATTTTTTACTTGAAGTTTTGAATCGGCAATACAAAAGTATATATCTTTAAAAAGGAGCACTTCCATTTTAAACACCCTGTACACAAAACTTTCTATTCCAACGAAATCAAATGGAAAATACCCACCAGCGTTTGCATGAAAAGTGTCAGTTTAATTTAAAGTTAATCTATTCTTGTAGTGATAAGTATTGTCGGTATACTTACTTGATGCTATGTATTGTACTATATTGTATTACTTCAAATTCCATTCTTAACATCAGTAACTCAGAAATAGAACATAGTATACGATTTTTTTAATTTAATAATTTTTGACCAGTAGCGATTATTCCACCACACCATGGATTTTATATTAAATATTATATTATATTAAATTAAATATTTTAAAAAATGTCTTGATACTTATTTTCATAGACTGTGATAATTGTCTCGCGAACTAATTTCTAAAATTTATTTTGATATTTGTTTAATCAACTAGACAACATCATTGGGGATAAAAAAAATTCAAACACGTCGCATAATATTTCGAACATTTTCAGGCCGGACATTTTTATATATTTTTTTACTCTTTTTTTGTTCTAATACATTTCCAACGAGATTAGAGAATTTTTGCGTCTAAGTTTTTTTAATCAGGTTAATTATTAGTTTTCATTGAAATCAAAGTATTACGAGTATATTACGAGTTTTTTGAAAAATATGAATGATTTGAAATAAATGATTATAATTAACCAACTTTCTAAACTATACCTACAATCCAATATGGCTCCCTGACCGATGTTCAAATTCACATATATAACTGTCACATCTGCTTTTCCGTACTGTTGTTTATTTTATATCAGGAAAATAGAAAAAAATTGAAAATTAAAATCGGAATATTTTGTTGAATCCTCCATTGATACATAAATATCAACTAACCTTAAATATCATGTCAGGTGCAATAAGTTCCAGCTCATACCTATTTAACACCTAACGAAAAAGATATGGTAATTGTGTGCTACAATTAGTCAATCAAATAAATTAATTTAAGTAATACACAAATGTTTATATTGTAATAACCAGGAGTTGGAAAGATGTCGCTTGATTTCATCCTGCATATCTGCACGAATTTTCAAAAACCATTTGATGCTATAAGTTACCTAGGTCAGCGGATTATGGCTAGCAAGTTAACAATTATGATAACGAACACTTTATAGCCCGCCATGATATATTCCGTATAGATTATTAGTACTCTTCATTACCTTACATATAGCCAAACTAATCTAAGATTTGAGAAGCAACCAACTGTCTTTTTATCCCCAGCAAAAATTGGACTCTTCTACCTCGTATTCTATGGAATGTTAGCAGCATTGGTCGCGATCTGCATGTGGGTTTTCTTCCAAACCCTAAACCCTAGGATCCCAAAATGGCAACTGGACAGGTCGCTCATCGGTACCAACCCGGGGCTGGGGTTCCGACCAATGCCGCAAAATAATTTTGAAAGCACGTTGATTTGGTTTCAGGGTTCTAACCGAACCAATTATCAGCCTTGGGTAGACAATCTGCTGGAATTTTTAGATAGTATGTAAATGCTTACTCGACATGTACGAAGCTAATATCCAGAGACCCAAAAAGACGGATCAGGAGTCACTAGTTGTAGTTAACTTACCAATTTACTTAAATTGATAATTATTACATAAGAAAACAGCTGCTTCAGAATATATAAATGCTAACATTCAATAACAGACAGTCTAGGGATATCTCACTCCTAGTTTACAGAAACAATTTTAATAAAAATTTTAATATTTAAGAATGTAATTTTTTTTTTAAATATGTTTGCATTTTTTTCCTGAGTTCTATCGTTCTTGCAAGATTTTGAGTTTGTAGAATTGACGAATATTTGTATTGACCAAAGAGTGGGGAGAAGAGTCGTTTTTCCTTCACACTTTTTAGAACTTTTGTTTATGTTGTTGGCTTTTTGATTACTTTTCGGGTCTCATTTGGTTATATTGCAATTTAATTGAAAACGATGCAATTGCGTTCTTTTAGATTACTACTTCCCGAGCAAAATAGCCAAAGGCAACGGCCAGATAAAGACGTGTTCCCATTCGGAATTTCCATCGGCCGAAAAAGACGAAGTTTGCGAAGTTGACGTGCGGGAGTGGGGTCAGTGCAACAAAGACGAATATTTCGACTATCATCGGTGGGTTTAGGAAATAATCGCCGGAAAAGTATCGTCGATTTATTTATTTGTAGAAATTCGCCGTGTATATTTCTAAAATTGAACAGGATTTACGGTTGGACGCCCGAATATTACCTGACAAACGAAGAATTACCAGTTGAAATGCCGAAACAACTTAGAGAACATATTTTGAGTATAAATAACACAAATATGGTAAGATTTCACATTACCCACGTTAAAAAATGTGTGCGAGTTCCACCAATTTTTTGTTTATTTTTATCTTGCCTCACGCCCCCTACCAAATCACTAATTAAGTTGAAACGTATTTTAACCAAAAGATCGTTATAACGGTGCAAGATGAGAGTTTGGAAATTTTGGAGAAACAGCAAAAATTCAGCATTCTTGTCGTTGATAATAACGTTTAGAAGCTAAAAAAAAACTAATAGGTCTGGAGATTTTGAGTTTTCATCTGAGGGTTGCTAATTATACAAAGTGTTCCTTGTTGTTCCTTAACGTTATTAATTCATGAAAAATTAACAACCTTCAATTAGCGCGTAATTTTAAAAGAAAAATATTTTAATATTGTTTTTTTTTAACAAAAAATCGATAAAATGCAAGACTTGGTTAAAAAAGTCTTTAGTATAAGTATTACATATTTTTAAAAAAAATAAAAGCGCTTGAGTGCACTTTATTGTTGTTAAAGCGTCTTCCAAACTGATATCTATCAAACACAAAATAGTTGCATCGAATCAAAAAGTGATTAATATGATCGCCAGTTGCTTTGCTGGTTTGGAAAATCTATGACAAAACTGCAATATGCAGAACATTACAGAATAATACTAGTTAATACGTTAAAAAATTCTGTTCAAAACGTGTGACTTTTAACTAAAGAAAAGGGTAAAATAAATTATAATATTACTATTTACAAAACTTCTGGATTCCTCCTGCGTTGGTTTTTATTGAGTCAAATTTGCTAACGTTTCGACTGCTAGATCTTATCCGAAACTGACTCGCATTTTACTCTGTACCTGCTTTTATATTGTTTGACGGGGGCGGAACTAAATGAGGGGCATAAACACCGTCTCTGATGACTAATTCCCATTTTGGTGAAAGGTAAATACCTGAGCCGCAGTTATTGTTAGGTTGCTTATAGATTTCTATAGATTCTTGGATTTTTCGTTGGTAGAAGAATCGATTACATGCAAGAATTTTAGTTTCATCGAATAAAATTTTATGTCCGGTTTCGCGATTGTGTTCGGCAATTGATGATGAGTTTATTTGTCTTAGTCTTAAGGCTCTTTAATTATAATGAGCCTAGTTGATATTTTTCGTCGATCTTTCCGATGTATTCTTTGTCACATATTGATGGAATGCTGTAAACCCCTGGCATCTCAAATAGAACCTTGTATTTAATGGATCGAAGATGTTGAGAGATTTTTGGATATGAATGTAATCAATTCATCTATCGGTGAAAAATCCGAAAATCTATAGAATCACTAATATGGGAATCAGACATCCGAGACGATGTCCTCCCCCCCTCAAAAAATATAAAAACAGGTACAGAGTAAAATGCGAGTCAGTTTCCGTTAAGTTCTGACAGGCGAAACGTAAGCAATTTTGACTCAACAAAAACCAACGCAGGAGGAATCCAGAAGTTTTGTAAGTAGTATTAATGTGGATGTTTCTTTGAAAAATTAAATAGGACTATTGTTGTTAATATATTTTGCGGTTCGTTACTAGAACAAATTTTAATTAACGTAATTTCAGCACTTACCTAGTATAGAACTGACTTAATAATTAACACTTGATTGTTACAGTTAGGTAGAATTCGATGTATTTCAATTTTTATAAAAAAATTACTGATGTCTCCATGTGGTTTATCTAGAAAAACACTTGCTTTTGATGCCAAATGCATTTCCGAAATTACGATAGATAAAAAGAAAAACATATGTTTTAACCAAGCACGTATTAGCTATACTTTTTTTTTAAGAAACTTCCACTGGCTACTATACTATTTACATATCTGCTATCTGAATTTTATTTCAAAATACATAAATACGTTAAAGTTATGAAAAAAATAGTATGACAAAACCACTTGATTTACCCTGTAAAACATGTTCGCAGAGAAAAAACGTATGGGTATCCTGTGAAGGTGAAACGCCTGCCGACAAGGAATACATAGGCAGCATAACTTACTATCCCAAAGGAGTCCAAGGATTTCCAGGCTATTACTTCCCTTACTTAAACAAAGAGGGATATTTAAGCCCATTGGTAGCTGTGAGATTTGAAAGACCCGTTCGTAAGTGTAGTAATTCATTTTGGAGTAAAGAGTAACCCGCTTCCTGATTATGGTAAAAATTGACACCTAATTATTATTATAAATCGTTTTCGTTGCAGCCGGAATCGTAATCAACGTGGAATGCAGAGCGTGGGCCAAAAACATCCGATACAGTCGGACAGATAAAATCGGTTCTGTACACTTTGAGCTCTTAATCGATTAACTTGGGTTTCTAACAATGCTGACATAGGAAACCATCGATTATAGCTCTCCCGGATACAAATGCTCTTACTATTTTAAATTTGGTTATTTATTTTGTTCACATATATATTTTTTTTAAATTCAACCAGATGTAATTTTACACATTCTATAAAATGCATTATTAAAAGTAAAAGTATAATTAAAGATCTCCCAGAAATTAGGAAAGGAAATTTTGCTATATAATTAAGATTGATAGGGAAAAATTTAATCACAACACATCTAATGCGGTACTGCTGATTTGTAAATTGTATTATAATGGTAATAGTCGTTTATTTATAAATACAATTAACACAATTTTTTGTAGTACATACTCAACAGATGTATATACTGTTTTGTTTTTGTTTTGTACTGATGTAATAAGGATGACCTGCCAGTTCAATATATTTTTTCAAAAACATATTAGGATTTTATTTCAGAATTAATCAGCATAAGACCCGATATATGTGGGGTCCTTAAAAGGGTTTTCACCCAAATACATTTTTTTATGTCCTTCAGCTTATTGATAGACTTTGGAGAGACCAATGCTTTTATACGACAGCGTTCGGCTTACCAATCGATACTTTATCAAACAATGTATGGAGAAAAAACTTTAAATTTTGGTAAAAAAGAGCTATAAATTGATAAATTAATAAATTAGTGCACATGTTTGGGATAGAGACAAAAAAACATAAACAGGAATTAAGTTTTGAAACATATGATTTTATTACTTTAAATAAAAAAAATCGGAAACTCCGTATTTGTATTTATGTATCGTTTTCTATAAAACCCGATCTCAAGTTGATGTAAAAGAAATGCAGAATTTGATAAAATAAAATCGACTAACAACAATTTTCTTCATTTGAAACCCCAAAAGCTGCTAGTGACCTTGGACTCTACCGCTGAAACGGTAACTAGGGACTAATTAAAAATTATAGACTAGGTAAACATCCAAAATAGTACAGAAACCACGTTCATTAACAATCAACTTGAAAATATTTTCAGGACAATAAAAAATGTTTGTTATTAACGGGTCCTATGAGCTGAGAACTGAAGTTCCAACTTGGGAAACACGCTGTATACCTATTACTCTTTGACATATTCTGTATACTATGTAAGTATGAAACACAGTTTTTAAAGAGTTTTTACAAAACTTCTGGATTCGTACTGCGTCGGTTGTTGCTGAGTTGTACTTGCAAACATTTCGGCATTAATCCTGTTGACTTCTTCAGAGCTTGACTGAAACTGAAAACTGAGCAAGTTCGACTCCGACGCAGGAGGAATCCAGAAATTTTGTAAAAAGTATTACAGTAGTCTCTGGAAGTTTCTTTGAAAAATTAATACCTACCATCCTAGTACTGTTCATTTTCTCTAAGACATTACTGATTATCTCGTAGTTATTATCAAATACATACCTACGTACCTATACATTTATATATCAATTAACACAGGTACCTACCGGTATATTATGCATTCTACCCAACCTTGGTGAGCTTTGGTTAGTTTGTTGTTGTTGCATTTCGCTTCGGATTTAATGGAACAAAAACAAACTAACCAAATAAGCACACTAAACCGGAACCTTAAACAAATCATACATTTGGTTGTTATAGGTACTTTCCCCTTACTCTTATATCTTATTCTCCATTACAGAAACCCACGCGACTAAAAAATAGCTTTTTAAGTTGGATAGAGTATATATTTAACATACCCTTTACTAGATGCCTCCACCGTGCTCAATATAAAACTTACGTCTGCTCAGAATCGTAAATCGATACTAAATGAACCACAACAACAACCCCCTCCTCCCTTAATGATACTAGCGTAATGAGGAAGACACATAAAAAAGAAAGGAACTTTGAAAGAAAATGGAGCGAGGTTGAAGTCAGAAGCGAAAGTACTTGTTTTCAATCGTAAAATGTTCTGCAGTTCAGAAAATGGAAAAATATTTCTATGGAATCCATCAAAAATACGTTGCGGAAATATTTTCACTTGTTTTCTTGCTAATGGAATTTCCCCACAATTTTATTAGCAGCTAACTTCATTTTATTTTCCTAAATGTACGTCAAAAGCATATGAAAGATACTTTATTAATTCAGTCAGTTTTCAATTTCGTGTTTTCATGATTAAAAAAAATAAATAAAATCAATTCAATTAGTACAAGAACAACCTCTAAGTGTAGAATAATTTGCAGAAAATTATTAGGGAAAGAGTTCTCTTACAAAAAAGATCTCACTATTTATTTGTTTTGTTAATTTTTGTTCAAACTGTATAGAACATAGAAATCCAAAATATGTTTGTTGTTGAATATTTTATAGAACATTTACTACTTCTATTGTCCAAATGCCTCTTTCTGATGAAGGAAGGAGTTAAATGCGGAAACTTAATTGAAACCGAATATAAAAACAAATCGTATTTCTAAATGCGCCCTTTTGAATGACCAGTTTAGAAAAATTGACCACGCGGCGTAACGTAGTGCTTCCCAAAACAGTCCCCTACTATTGTTCCGCTGACCAGCATCGTTTGCAGTCCGCAAGATGCCTCCTCAAACGCCGACAGCAAGAGGACGCGTCGTCGCAGTGCGCGCCGCGACGCTTATCGACGCGCAATCCGATATTTTCTCATCCCCTTAGTCGCCCTGTCCGCCTCTTCTTGCAGGGAAGAAGTCAGTGAGTGTGGGCAGCATCGCATAGCAAGTTTGAGAGCAATGGCGGACAAAAAACAAAATTCAGCTGCAGCCAACGACACGCAGTTTTACACGAAACCGCCGGAGTTAGGAAAATGGGAAAGCTTCCGAATTTTTCTATGGAACCCGGACACGTCGCAATTTTTGGGAAGAACCGCGAGCAGTTGGGGTAAGTCGATTTTTTTGACCTCATTTCAATAACCATGCCGTTTTTTCATTTATTTATGAAACCGACGCGAAGCGAGCAGGAACCCGCTCCCGCCCTATCGAAAACCCCACTAGTCCCCATGACCTATTGGCATTTAAAGCATCCAGATATTATATAACGTTCCCCAGACTGTACCTCCATACACAGTGACCTTTTGTCCTCAAAAATCTTCCCTTTTTATTGAATGTTTGAAATAGACCGGGTAACGGGCGTAGAGAAACAAAGAAATAGGGGCGGAAAATTGCATGTCGTAGTGGAAATTGGCATTTTCGGAAAACTTACGACTGGTATGGCGCCGTCGCGGCTGTGGGATTTCGGCGAGACGACGCCCGTTATACAGGTCGATTTTTGTTTTGCGGCGATTTTGTTTTTTTTTTTTTTCAACTGATTCGAAACGGAATATTTCGGCTTGATCGATATTTGTGCCTTAACGTCGGGTGGGAGTAACATATGGTCACTCCTCATAGTAGACAAGCACGAAAGTCTTTTGGAGATTTTGAAACTAATCAATTGCCTAAATTAAGCATTTCTTTCGTTTAGTTGACTTGGTTTTGCAAATTCGTTACAACAACCAATATTTTATTAACTACGATTTCCCTAACTGTTTCTTTTGTGGCATTAAGGAAAGTTTGGCCTCGATATGATACATATTCCACAAAAACGGAATGGTGGTGGGTTAAAATAGTCCCTTTTTTACTATTACCTAGTTTTTTGTTCATCCAATTTGTAATTTACTTCAACCAATTAGTCAACTAAAAAATATTTAATATCCTATATAGAACTTCGATAGTAAAACATCGTGTACAAAATCTAAAAATAGTGTTAAAATCAATCGCTCAAATCAAAATTAATAACGATTTAATAGCCGGCTGGCCTTCGCTAATCAGGGACTCGCGTAATATGTATCAAACTGTAGCATGCAGAACAGTTTTTCTTAATGACAATTTTCTGGGCCTATTATATTTATTTCAGAGTAGTTAGTAGATATTATATTTATTTGATAGTTGAACACAAAACAAAACAAAACAAAAATAAACAAACAAAACAAAACCAAACCAAAAAATTGCACTTTTTGCGTTCATAACAGAATAACGTTTAAAAACTTGAAATTGATTGCTTTGTCTCACTCAAATAGTACATATAAAGAACAAAATCCTTCACATAATTAATTATAAAATTAGTATAAATAATTCTATTTTAACCGCTAGCATCTTAACATAATTTAAAGATTTATACGATTCAGCGTTATAATTTATCTATTTTGGAACTATAAACTAACGACAATTAGGTTAAAATAAGATGAGAAGCGAATTTCATTTTTAATTTTCTAACTTCCGCTTCTTCAAGGTCGTGTAAATTTCTGTACTTACCCTGATTAATACGCGGCATATTTTAATAAAATTGCAGTTTACCGCACATTTCCCTCGAGGACACTAGAAATCAATATCTCCATAAATTTGCATGGTTTATTACTTGGTCTGGCAGATATCAGTTGGACTAGCTCTTTCGTTGCCAAATATTTTTATTAAATAGTTGAGTTTCACTGATTTTATTATCAAAAATTTTTAAAAAGCGAAGTAGTGAGAATTTAAAAAAAAAATAGCTTTGGTCCTTCTTAGAAAAATTATAGAATGTTCAATAAGTATGGGGGTGATTTAAGAAATAATCTGAAAACAATAATAACGAATATAAAAAAATTGAAACTAAATAAGTTCCCACAAACTGCAAAACTTCTGTTCTCTTTTAACCCTATAAATTTACAATATTCGCTGTATTTATAAGTTAAGATTCTTGCAGTTTCATCTTTCAAATATTAACAACATATTTTCACACAAAATGCCAATGGGGTTCACCTACTTGTTTGTGTGCTATTAACCCAAAATTTGTAGTCAATACATACTTCAATTTAAATTATCATTTGTAGCATAAAAAACCATTCGCTTTCAAATTGTCCCTTGTTTTTTAAACCAGTTCTATTCGACTTTTGGTCCAAAATTGCTTTTAAAGCTCTTTCAGAGTCTTTTATTATACATATTAATGTCATGAAAATACGATTTTAACCCAAGATTTTAAAAAAATCGTGATAGGAGGCGAAACTCTGCACCTAATTGCGGAGAGAGTCAGCTAAGCTGAACTTTTCCAATTATCCGTAACTTATCTTCTCTGAAATAAGTTTTGTTCATCGAGCAACCCTGTGTCGGATTAGAAGGAAAAAGTTTTTTGACAAAGAAGAGTAATGAAACACGAGGCGAAAAGACGAAATGAAAAATATTTTGCTTTGACTAGCCATATGGTGACATTTGGTTCTATTTTTTGTACATAACAAAAAGTTTACATATTTGATACCACTGTTCGGTTCGGCAAAAACTCGAGAGTAACAATCTCGGTTAATTTTCGTGGCTTTACTTCTCATGAAAATGATTGCAAAACATCCATTCCTAAAACAAGTTCACTTCTCTGACGAAAGTAATAGAAAAACCTTAACATTAATTTTGACACGAAAATGAAATACTAATAAATTTTAATTCAAGATTTTATCTTTGACAAAATAGTGCCCCAAGACCCAAAAATTTCAACCCATAGTTTTCAGCCAGAACGATGTAAATAAAATAAAAAATTAGTTTTAAGTGACACTCGCCACTATTTGTCGTCAGCCGGGAGACAAAATGGCATTACTCTCCTTTAAAATCGATAATATGTATCTCTAAATTCAACTCCGTCGGGTGGTCCCATTTTTTATTCATTCGGAAAATCAATTTCCATTTCCTTATCGGAGAAAATTACTTTTAAACACAATTAGCGTTAAGCTGCATTAATTCTGGAGAAATTGGGTCGTCCGGGTTCATAATTATGGCGTCTGCAAATACGCAATTTTACAACGCTTTTCGATTTAATGTTTAGAATGGAAAAAAAAAATTACACAATGTTGATACATAAGTGGAGATGGTTCTTTATTTGTATCGTTTATTTACTACGTAAGTCAGACGTGCAGTAGAGCGCAGTATGAAGTTCCTTAAGATAATCTATTCTTACTTTAAAATGTTTATTATACATATGAATGAAACAATGTTAGAATATTTATAAAAAAAATATTCTACATCAAAATTATCGTTATCGTCACTGGACTATTAACAATCAATTCTGGCACAAGTCTAGTCTGTAAACATTTTATTCGTCGATGACATGTTCTACACATTTTTTCTGGCAGATATTTTTTCTTTCTAGCTTTCTAATAAGTTTTTAATATAGGAGATCAACCTATGTAATGGGCAAATTCAACTTGAAATAGGGCTACCTGAAGTAGGGACTGTTTTAGAAAGATTTAGAAAAAGCACACTAATATGAATTAATATGATAGTTTAATGATAGAAAATTTCCTTCCTCTTAAAATACAACGGGCCGCACGGCACAGTTCTTGTCGATTGTAAAAACGGTATATCGTTAGGCGAACTCTACCTACTGAAACATCGGACGGCCCAGTTAGAACACGTACAAAGCATATTGTTCGAGTTCATCAAAGACAATGATGAAATTAAACAGCCCACTGCATGTAAAACTTAAAGAAATATACCTCAATCTTTTATTGAGCGTATTCGTAGTAGTCATGGCTAAAAGCTATTATTAAAGTAAAAATACAGTTTTTGCGTGACTCGCTCCAGTAAAACAGATTGACCGTAACATAAACAAAAAAAAAATAGCTAAAACTGAAGATCGAAAATGATAACATACCGGAAACATTTCAATTCAAACATTTCAATGCGAAGGTGAGAAGTTTATTATTCAAGGCTCTTAACGTCGCTATTAAAATCATTTTTAAAAGAAATTAACGTACCTTGCAGCATTAATGCAGCAATCAAATTTAAGACAGATATGAATATACATAAAAAAAGTGGAACTGACGAATCAGTGTCAAAAAACAAAAATAAATCATCAAAAATACAATCACAATCACAATGCTTTTAATACGTCGTCTCACACTTATCTAATGTGTAATGATCCCTGTAATAATCTCAAAGCGAGGTCAACAATATCAGAAGCTTTAGGGTCAAAACTAAGATTTAAATTTAAATACTGGAGACTGGATCGTTAACTGCACTTGTAAACAACATCACACAACAACACCCAAAATGTACGATTTCAAACTACCAGTTTTTTTATTGTTATTAATTAAAGTACATTTTAGATCCCAGAAATGTCATTTTTTTTTATTATGGATCTGAGAGTGCTCCGTTGTAGTTTCAAATAAATAGTATGACAAGTTTGACAGACGCCGTTTTAGTCACGAATTTGATTTGGCACGAGTGGAGCGGGTGCTTAATAATGAGTGACTGAAAAATGTATCAAATTGCTGAATATTATGCTTCTTACTTCAGATCGCACCCAAACCCATGACTAAAGTACCGCAAATATTAGTATATTAGTACCTCGAGACTATTGGTAACGAAGGAAAGCATCTTAAAGTGACACGCTTGCTTACGTAATTGGATATCTCAGCTTCACTCAAATATTCAAAAATATTTTGTGAAAAGTTGCTCTACTGCTTATACCATTACTTGATGGGTTCTACTATGTTACAGAATAGTCTACAACAAACTTCTGAACCATAATGCAATATCTATTATCATCGACCGGCATATCAATCATCGCTTTTTTGGTTTTGGGTTTACAGTTCGTGAAATGCAACCGGATCGCAATTAGACCGGATATGACAATAATGCCAATTAAAAAAGTACAGAAATAAATGTAACACAGGAAGTTTATTAGTCATTGTTTCCGCTGTATGGATAGGAAAATTCATTTTCCGGGGTCATTAAATTTGCAGGAATTTATGCCGATGAACATGATTTAAAGCGGATCCTAACGAAATTATAGTACCAAAAAGGCAGTTTTGAAAGACCGGAGACGAATAACATTTATTGTCTATAATATTTCTTTCTTAAAACTCTGTGAGTATCAAAAAA